GCCTCTATTTATATACAAAAATTGGTAGAATTAAGGTAGGACTCGCGTTGCTTGTCCTCCAATTCTTCCCATACATGACTTTTTTTACGAATAGAGTTTTTTCTATTGTATAATATTTCCTACGCAGAACTTGCCTTGTATAGAACTTCCTATCAAAGAATTCTCCTTTTATGGTAAATCCTTCTAACGATAGGACTTGTTCAATCTTGGAAAACTGGACTGAATATACCTTGAACCCGCTGGGCTTGAATAACGGGCCGGATGTTTAATATTGACATGTTGGGCTGATAATCTCTTAATTCGGGCTTCAACAGGGCTGAAGGTCAAATAACAATAGTATTGGGCTTGTGAACAGTGATCTTGGACTAGTATCAAACTCAATTTGGGTTTGAGCGAGGTGGGCTTTATAAACTTATCAAGGATATGTTTATATTTATGATGACGTGGATTATTCTCATTGGAGGGGATTTTTTCCCTCCACACTCATGAATTAGAAAAGTAAATTGGAAATGATACAATTTGCAGAGTTTGTAGAATATGACCAAGTTAGTTTGATGCCTTGGGCAAAATGGAAAATGTAATATGGAAAGTGTAATACACATCATCTGGAGTAAAAATTATTTACAAAATATAAATTTATTAAAATGAAACAATAATGTACAAAGTCAAGGAGAAATCCCTCTGGTCCAGAAAAAAAAAAAACAAAAACAAAAAAAAAGCATCCCAAACCACCTTTTGGATTTCATTAGGCTTCAAAGAAAACAATCTTTTTATTATCTCTATTGTTTTACTTTTCTGATTCATGAGCAAACAAGGAAGAGGAGAAACAAAAAGGTACGTACATGGGATGAGAGAGAAACTAAAATGGGTCAGTTAAATGGGTATAACCCATGTTTTATATTTTTTAATGGAATAGAGATGTGGCAAATTCTTATTGGGCCTAGTCAGCTTGGAGGACAATTCTTGTCTTGATAAGGCAGGAACTGAGCATTACTCTTTGACTTGGGTATTGTATTTGTTGCATTGCCCTATTATATCTTTGTTTTTCTCTGACATTCTCCCCCTCCAATCACTGAAGTCGTGTTATTCCAAGATGATGACGGCGACGACGACTCTGTGAGCCACACCTCCTCTGATGTTGATGACACTACCACTGACCATAATCTCGCCTCCGAAATAAAGGAGTTGTTTTGCCGGAAATGATGTGCTTGATAGGACTAAACTGAACAGAATGATCAGCGATGCGCAACAATGGTGGCTATGAACTATTCTTATCGGCGAGCACGCAGGTCTAAACTGAACGACGCAGACGGAGTGATTCGACGGTGCATTGAACTTACCGATGATCACGGAATCGGCGAGCAATGGTGATGGAGGAACTGAACCTTTGGTTCTCTGAGTCTAGTTCTTGCACTGGATTTGCTGTTGGATTTTTTTTTTTTTTACCTAACTAAATGTCATCGGAATTGTTCGTGCTTGGGCTCGCCGTTGTGTGGTCAAGGTGGTCCTGTCCCCTTTGTTGGTTATATATGTAGCTATGAGCTTCATCGGACTGAAAGGAGCTTGGTGATGACGAGATGCCTAGATGGAGAAACATAGAACAGAGGGACTGGCGGTGGTGGAGGTTAGTCGGAATTTTCCCTGACTTGGAGACAGGGCTGGCCCTAAGATTGAAAATTTTTTGAGAGGCCCTAGGCGAACTTTAAATGTGAGGCCCTCTGTACATAAGTTTCACAGGCGCCAAAAAAAAATTTACCGCAAGTTCATTGAGTTCACATAATTTTTTATTTCTCTATATATTATAACTTTCCTAAAACGATTATAGTATTTTTTTTAATTACTAAACTTCAACGTATAAAAAAATTTAACAATTGACCTAAAAGATTTTTATTCTTTATTTTTTTTTTTAGGGCCCCTAAAATTTTTTTCTTTATTCATTATAAGTTACCAAAATATTTTATTTTCTTATATCTTTAAACCTCAACAAATACAAAATTTAATGGTGTGCACAAAATATTTCTATCTTAGTATTATCTTTTTATTTTATTTTTTCTCTCTCTTTCATCTTCCTTACATCAGCATATATACACACACATTAAAATTAAATATTGTATTGAGCCGCCCTGTGTGTATATATATATATATATATATAATTGTAAGTTTTTGATCAAAATGAAGCAAAATGGTTGCATAAAATGGTTAAAAAATCAGTACCCAAGAATGGCAAGGAGGCAAGGGAGAGAGAAATTGAATGGAGGAAACGAAGTTTTCCTGCAATTTATAAAGATTCAAATAATTAATAATACATATGTAGTGTGTCAGTTTGTGTGTGTGTGTGTGTGTATGTGTGTGTGTGTGTGTGTGTGTGTTAGAAAAAGTAATGGGATGGGTGAAAGAGAGAGAGACCTGTGGAAAAAGAAGGCAAAAGGCAAGAGAGGTGATGAAGACTCGGTAGCTGAGGCCTTTGGAAGTGGTTGCTTTGAAGAATGTGCTTAGGCGATCATGGTGATGATGATGGATTGATCATTGATGCAGATGTGAATCATGCGATGCAAGTTACAAACCCGAACTATGATTTGCAAACTGGAAGTCTAGAATTCTGAACCAGACTACAGAGATAGAGGAACAGAAGAGTGAAGACGATAATAATATGATGTTTTCAATTTTCTGGGTTTTGAACTTTCGATTTTCGAGGAATAAAAACTTTTGATTGTTGCAGTTGTAGTCTTGCAGAGCAGAGAGAGAGGGGTAACCGGGTAAGCTTGAGAGTTGAGAGTCTGTTGAGATTCTCGAGAATGAGAGTTACGAGTGGTTCAAATGATTTGCTGGCATTTTTTTTTTTTTTTTTTTTTTTTTTTTTTTTTTCCTGAGACCCCTTAAATGATTTTTTGGGTTACAATTTATTTATTTATTTTTTATTTTTTTGTGGCCCATTATTCATCTGCCTATAAATTTTGAGGCTCTTTAAAAGATTTGTTGCATCGGATTACATTTTTTTTTTTTTTTTGATAGCCCATCGTGCATGGGCCTCAAAATTTCGAGGTCCCTTAAAATCTGAGGCCCTTAGCGACCGCCTTGGTTGCCTTGGGCCAGGACCTGCCCTGCTTGGAGACAGAAAGAGAGTGCACAGTGACCATAAAAAGATCCGAATGTTTTAGGCGAATTTTTTTTTAACATGTGTCATCCTGTTAGTGATCCATGTCAGCAAAAGTAGGAAATTCCTACTTGCTGAGGCAAGCTTTTTCCATTTCTTTTTTAGGTGGTTCTTTGTAAATGACAGAACTCATATGGGATTTACTTTTCATCCGGTTTTTAATTTGAAAATTTACTTTTAGTAATGTTAAAATATATATATATATATATATATATATATATATATATATATATATTAAAAAAAAGGCTTTTTAATGAAGTTAAAAATTAGAGCTTTTAAATTGTCTTTTAAATAGAAGTAGAATTTTTTTTTTTTTTTAAATAATCTAATCCCTCTTTATTTTTAAGAAATTTAAGTTTATTCCTTACACGGGTCATATAAATAAATGTGTTATCAAATAACCTGTGTATTCTACTATTACTTAAGAATCCTATACCAAATAAAAATTAATGATCCCTATATATTTTTAAATAAATTGTATTTTAGTACTAAATATAAATAATATACAATAAACAAAAATTGTTATATAAAAGATGAAATTTAAAGCAATTTGATCAATGAAATTACAATTATTAATATTTGAATAATGTACATGTTTATTAGTGTCTGGTTAATAAAGTAAAATTATTAGTAATAAATCTGTTTTAAACAACATTGTCACCAAGTAAAATTAAAAGTGCTTTAAGTATGAAATTTTTTTTATAAAATATATCATGTGACGCCTAACATGTGCGGTATTCATAAAAGCGTTTTCACCGTTACAACAGTAATGCCAAACTGGCATTTAGAGCAGCAAATGAATGGAAAATTAAAGAACTCTTTATTGCTTATTTCAATTTAAAGAATTATTGATGGTTCATTTCCAATGGTTTAGAACACTTTCAAATTGTAGAACTTTTATGATTTATTCCAATTTAAATAATTATTGATGGTTCGTTTTCAACTAAAGAATCCTCACTGATTTGATTGGCTAAAAAATCAGTTCGATCTGTACAAATTGTATTGGATTTAAGGATTCACGGATCAAATAAATAGCAGATTAAGATTTCAGCAGAATAGTTTAAGAGAGAGAAAAAGAGGCAGAGTTAAATTAGAATTTGATTTGCATCCATTTGAATTGACACGGTAAGCATTCAAATTTTTTAATTTTTATTATTTTTTAGACACTTGTCATATTACTTTTGCGCCACATTAAGGCTAAGCATGTACTTCTGACTTAGTGGTGAGTAAACAAGTATTGTCTATTATTTAATAAAATAATTTACCAAATAATAAAATAAATTATCAATTAAAATTAAATAGGTAATTGTTTAAAGATAATCCGAAATCAGACAATTTTGCTGTCCACAGGTATGTTTGAGGACTTAAAGTGCCTGTGAATTATGGGTGGTGGCACTGCATAATTAATGTTGATGGCTGCGATCTAACGCTATTTCGATCCTCATTTTCCAAGAATTCAAGATGCTGCTACTGTTTTGGACATTGTTCTTGCTATATATGCAGATGATCCATTGCTCAAGTACTAGTAAACTAGATGCCTCTCGGCTCTGTCAATGCATCTCTACAATGCAACACAACCATATCACAAAATGCAACACACTTAGACAATAACTTTAAAAAAATTATGCAACATATTTATATCAAAGATACAACTGTAGACATTCTATCTATTATCTATACTGTGCAAATATAAGTTTTTGTTGCATGGTGTGATTGTGCACGATTGAATTTCATCACTTTGGCTATAAAATTCTGCCCTATTCATTTTCCTGCTACAAAAACACAAGTGATGGTTGATGAATCTGCACCAAAAATATATATATATATATATATTGAGATATTGAAGAATACCAAACAAAAAAAAAAAATCTTTTATTATTGAACAAAAAAACATTCTAAATAATTTTTCAAGGAGAGAGCAGGAAGGAAGACATTGTAGATTGAGAGAGCTAGGTTGGTACATATTTTATAGGGTCCTGACTTTTTTTTACTGGTTATGAAACACTAAAAAAACGAATTTGAAATCTCCCATATTCAATCTGCTGATTGCAAACAACACAAATGCCGTTCCCAAATTGAAATCCCATCAAATTCCATGGTTCCAAACACAGCGTTAGTTTCCTGCCGGAAGTATATTTTGCTGTCCATGTAACTGTTGAGAATAAAGTGTTTGGATGCTTTAAGTTAACAAATATTGTTCCACTGTGTAGCCATGGGGACCATTCTCATCCATATGTTACACCATGAGACATCGGTTGTAAGTTTGCAGAGAGAAATCTTACCCAGGAACACGATCATAAATCAATTTTTATGTCAATATAGTATAAAGTTTAAAAAAAAAAAAAGAAAAAGAATTAATACATTGATAAGCAAGGCATACTCACAGATCATTTGTTACAGAACATAACATTGTTTCTGGATGAACAGCCAAGTTAACTATATATGGATTAATTATTGCTGTTTCTTCTCAGGCGCTCCAACACATATTTCTCACCAATCAGATACTCAACCAGTCCTTGCAAATGATGCAAAAACAAGTTAAGATCGAAGCCAAGAAAGAGGCCGGTAAGAGAGTTCAAGAAGGTAAGAAGAACATCTACTATGTCCTCTGGGAAATTTAAAGCTCGCCATGGATGATGCTATATAATGATCATAGTCATACAGAATAAAAGTTCACTTGTACGTACTGAAAATGAATTCTGAAGTTAAAAGGAAAATTACCATTGGTATAATCTCGACAGTCGTGATGGCCAATCCTCAAATCAGTTTCCCAATTTTGATTGAATTTATATGTTGCATCTAAAGCATCCACTTTGGACAATCCAATGAACCAGCATTTTCTTTTTGGCACCTTGTTCAACCTCCTAACAAGTACACCTCCTGTCAAAGATGCACAACATATAAGCATCTGTTAAGAAAGCAAAATCTTCTTGTACCACTTTCAATTTTGAACCATAACATTCATTGAAATTTATTTTATTTTTATTTATTTTTTATTTTATTTTTATTATTTTTTGTGGTTGTTTTGTTGTTGGGGAACCTCATAACAACAAATGTTATTGGTCTTTCCCTACTCAAATTTCTTATTGAATTCAAACAACGCCAAGACTCAAACATGAAGGTGCACATCTTAAACTCTTAATAGTCTCCTCCAATTGTTTAAAATGCAGTGAATAGATTAGTAATGAAAGGAGGGGGAAAAAAAAACTATGGTACAATTCAACTAAAAGACCTATAAAACAACAGTGATATTCATAAATTTTAAGCGAAAAAACAGGAAAGACTTAAGTGATACAGAAAATCTATGAACACTTGAGAGCCTTACCTGGTACTTTCCTGCCAGATATAGCTGCAACTGCTACGTATATATTTTCAGGATCTTGAGGTTGAAAATCAAAAACCAAAGCCTGTCAAAAATGAAGAGATCAGATGAATTCAAAACAACTAGAACTTCGACTTTCCGAAACCCCAAAAAAAAACCTTTTATAGAATCAACTGGAACGCATAGTATATATAGAATCAACTTTTAGTACTCACAAAAAGAAATGGTCATATAGAACCGGAATATATATATATATATAAATCCACCCCATAAATTTGATAGAAGCGGAGATAAGTAAGCAGATGATACAAATTTGTGAAAAACCCACAATTGACTCAAGAACTCTAGAAGTTGTCTTCAATAAATCATAATCGTACAATCCTGCAGTTTACTAATTACATCATTTACAATATCTAGATTCAGCACATAGAGAATTCAAAGATTGAAGATGCATGGAATAAAAGCCCAGCTAAAATTGATGAAAATCCCATGAAAATATAAATTCTCTAGTTTGAAACCTCATTCAAATCATTTTAGGATTCGAATCTGGAATTAAAATTGCAGAAAATCGAAACCAATGTTATCATTTTAGGATTCCAATCTGGAATTAAAAGATTAACATTTTTGTTCAATAAATAACTCAAATTAACACATAGTGAGAATTTGGAGGGGAGAGAGAACCTGAGAGTGAGGAGGTGAGGAGGGTTTGATGATGACCATGAAATGCTGCAAATCCCATAGATTAAAAGAGTAAGCAGTGGACATAAGCAACTGCGCAGGCCCTTTTGTGGCTCTTAAGGGCACTGCTGCTACATATACTTCATCTCTTCTGCTGCTTCTATTTGTCACTATTGATTTTGCTAATACAGACGCCATTGAAGACGATGGATATCAATCTATCAGATAGCTTAGCTGCTATTATGATGTGGCGGTCAGTTACTACAAGTGGTGGGAAGGAAGTTTTTAATATTCATACTCACCAGTATTGATTAAATCATGTTACTCGCTGAAGTAGACTGCCAGCTGTCAAGATATGGCTCTCCTAGGTTTTAATGGGCCTATGAAGTTGGATTGAGGATCACCAAGAATGGGCTTATATTGGGGGGATGCAGCTCATTCGTTCCAGCAAATTTCATTTTCATTATTTCAATTATTTAGTCTAGACTATTAAGTTTAATAAATTTTTGTTTTTTATTTTTAAAATGCATATTAATTAGGTGACGGTGATTAAAAATGTTAAAATCTATGCAGAATCATATCAGATAGGAAATTAAGAAGCAACAATAAAGATGACAAATGTGGAATCAAATTATTAAACATCATTTATTATTATTCAAGCTAACATATCTTGCATCATCATACAAGCACCCGAAGTAATCAAACCCACACGGAACCAAAAACCATATGCTACATGGCATAATAATTAATTCAAAATAAACATTCTCCAATCAAGCATGGAGCATGTCTATGTCTATGTCTGTCTCCCTATGCATGCCCGCCACGTGGCAATCCGGCATTGGTGAGATCCAAGTGGATCCATTAATTTGCATATCTGACATAACACCTACCTAACAATCCTTATTAGACAAAGTACACCCTCATTAAACTCCACATAATGACAAGAAACCTACTAAGCTCACCCCCACATGACATGACACGACACAGACATTCACTAAAGCCACACTCTGTAGGTCTACTCCTCTGTCTTCTCAGGTGGTGCTTCTGTGCCAACTTTCTCTACAGCTTCAACTTGTTTCTCTTCTTCAGCAGTGACGACTTCATCTTTTGGAGCTTCAACCTCGGGCTCCGGCGACGCCGGTGCCTCAACGGCTTCAGTAGTTTCTTTAGTCTCCTCCACAGCTGGTTCTGGTGCCACCTTTGGAGTACTCTTCTCTTCTGTCTTCTCTGTTTCTGCAGGCTCTTCAGTCACAACCTTATCCTCTTCTACCACCTCCTTAGTCTCCACTTTGGCTTCCACGGGTACTGGTTCTGGAGCCACGGGTTCCTCGGATTCAGCTGGGACCTCAGTTTCCTTTGGCTCTTCTGGTTCGGGCTGTGAGGGTGGTGGTGCCACCACCTCTTCTGTGGTGGCGGTTTCTTCAGCTTTGAATGATTCCTCTGTTTTCTCCTCTGCAGGCAGGGCCGTTGTTGATGATACTACCTGTGGCACCCAATATTATTCAAAGAAAATACTTACTAGAACACTAATTAATCAAGGAAAACATTGAAAACACAACCAGAATGTTAAACAGACACATCATTTTGAGGACTGTCATACAAAATTAGTTACGTACGGACAGTGGATACACATGTATATTGAACTTTGAAACCTCCTAATTAAGCAATTTTATATATATATATATAGACACACACACACTACCTCTGTCCCAAAATCCCAAAGTGTCCAAGTATTTTGAGACGGAGGGAGTAGTAATTAACAACAACTATAAGATTTTCTAGGGATCAATCATAATCATGTAGAATTAATGATTTTTGGTGAAAAAATATTACGAACAAAGAGGTTTTCTGATTGGCACCCTATAGTAAAATTCTAATTAAGATGATGATGATGATATATTAGATAGGTTAACAAATTGGAGCAAAACAGAGTTGGATGTTGCATATATAAAAATTTAGTAGCTAGAAGTTGAGTTACCTCAACAGTGGCCATCGAAACCAAAGAGAAGTGGAAGCTGAGTATTAAGGAAGAATAAATTAAGAGTAAAGATGGAGGAAGTAGAGAAGACTGCTGGAGTGTGAGGTGCAGAGAGATGATCAATGAGAGGTTTATATAGCGGGGTAAAGGCCTCAAGTTTTGTGTGTGTGTGTGTGTGTGTGACAGAGAGAGAGAGAGAGGTGGGGACATGCACTTGAAGAATCTTGGGAATTTGACATCTCATCTCACTGAATACGAGAGAATTGGCATGTTCGGTAATAATGCTGAGCATAATATAATAGAGAGGTACCCATAGAAGTCAGTGAATGCTTAGAGGAAGCATAACACTAAAAATAATTAACAGATGGGTTTAGTAATTTCAATATGGTGATTAGTGATTGCAATCTTTTTCGTCGAAAAGACTAAACAATGGAGGCCATTTTCATATGGGTACTCAAACACCTTCTTTTGGCTGGCTGTGTGATTTGTGCGGTCGGGCTTGCAAGTGACCACATCAACATTTTTGGTACATCCGTAATCATCCAACCATGTTCAATTCTAATTAATTAGTATAACTCAATTTCACTCAAATAATATTCCCAAAAAAAAACTTTTCTCATAATTGTTTAATAAAAAGCAAAGTTATGCCCCAACTATGTGTTCATGATCAACGCCATTAATTTTTTGAAAATTAACGCATCATGGTGTGGTATAAAACTCTGTTCGGGTAGGGCCACATAGAGAGTTTTTTTCCTTCTCTTTTTCAGATTTTTTTTTTTTTTTTTTCACTCAGATCGTCATGTGGTGTAACAAGAGGTCCCAAAGTGAAAAAAGGGTAGGGCGGCGTGGTTGGGTCCCACATTGCCTAACAGGCAACTATAATTAAGTTCGAAAAAGCGTACGAGAAAAAAAAATATTAAACCAAAAATAAAAAATAAAAAAGCGTACGAGAAAAAAAAAAAATAGTGGAACCAGTCTATTCTAGCATTTCTGATTAAACCTGCTGGAGCCCACAATAATATGCACTTACATGCTAAGATGGGACCCTCCATGACTCAGGACCCACTTTTCATTTGGCCCCGTCTGATTACAGTCATATTTGTGATCATCATGTGCCCTATAGTTGTCCTGCGATTGGCATCAGAGTCAAATATATATATATATATATATATTAGATGATCAATAAGTGATGAATACGTTGAATTCAGATTATTGTTTAAATTTTTTTATAATGTATTAATATATTTTTGTCAAGTCATTTTCTTAATGGAAGAGTCTCAATTGAATTAGTCTATCAATAGAATTGAACCATGTAATAATTCACTTAAATTATGACAAAATTTGACTCATAAAATTTTATAAAATTAAAACTGATACATATGTCATTACTCTAAATTTCCTATATTATAAAGTTCAAGTAGAAGAAAGTAATCCTAGACAAAATTGACTCCAAAAATAAAATTACTTTTAAGATATATGACATTTAAATTGTTTACAATTGAATAGAGTCATGAGAATATTGTTCAATTTTTTGTTGAACTTCTTCATCAATTGAGCTAGGTTTAGTAAGTTAAGAAACTCTTTAAATTATAGGTCAAGATTTTTTATTTTATTTTTAATCTTGGCAAAAAAATTCCTACTCACTTTTGACCTCATAAAGATTTAAACATTTGACCTTCTATTTTAAAAAAGTAAAGAACTACCACAAAAAATACTAATCATCACGAATTATTTTCATGAGATAAATTAACTCAAATTACATGACCGATTGTGTGGCAACTTGTGCATTGTGTTCTTGAGATATTGATATGATAGGATATTGGGAAAAACTAGCAAAACTAATTATCATTATATAATGCAAACTCCAACATAATTGAATAACATAAAATTCCATTTCTGCTAATATCTTCATTTTAAATATTATCTTTGTTAAAACTTTATAAGTTTTTTTTTTCATAATTTCTTTGACCTACACTTTTGGAGTAGTATCGTTTTAGTAAATAAGAACCTAATTTCCATCTACATGCATATGTGAATAATGAAATAAATTTAGATCTTAACTTGAACTGCGGCATGTGGGTTCTTTCCCCCTCGCCGTTATTAGCAGTGCCACACATAATTCACTTAAAAATTCTTATAATTGTATTTTTAATTGATATGATCCTTTTACGGTTGAACTGTAGGGGGAGAAAAAATGCATAATTAAAAAGAAACCCTATAAAGGTAAAGTTATTCAGAAAGTGCATAACAAAATATATATACACACACACACAATAAAAAAATAAAAGTTGAGACACAAATTTTTTATAAGTATTTTTTTCCAGATATTCCACACAATACTAACCCCTGACTATTGTATTGTTATTGTAGATCCCAATGGTTTATTATCAACTGCAAATTTCGTACGCTGGTGCTCACTCACCACCACATGATGTATCGAAAATTGCCAATTCCATGATTGATGTCCTAACGTGCCGTCCCATTTAATTTAATCCTCTAGTCATGGGAGCTGAGCCCGAAAGCTTCTTTCTAAACTGTGTAAAAGTGGAAACAGGGTGGACAGATAAAATTGGGCGGTGCGTAGGCCCACACAAAGTGTACCCCACTAGGACTACACATCTCGCAGCCGATGGTGGTGAGTAATGACAGGATGCCACGTGGCAGTCCCGCACCGACCACGTATGCTGTTGCAGTCTCCATGTCATCATTTGACGTGAAAAGCTCCGATGATTTGAATGACGTGGATTCACTTTTATGAAAATACATTGAACCTGAAATCTCTTGTGAATTATTTTGATGTTGTGCGTTGATAGTCTGGTTTGTTCAAGTTTGGACTTGTTTGTTTGATTGATTTATTCAGTCAATGAATGGAGTTTTGAGTTATTTTCAAGACTAGTTCAAGTTTGTACTTGATTTTATTTTTTATTTTTAATCACTGTGTGCTGTACTCACGTTCCCGTGTTTATATTTATACTTTGTATTGGAATTGGATTGTTTTGATAATCTATGAAAATTCAATATGGAAGACTTAAGAATGAATAAAAATAAAAATAAAAATCCCAACCAATTAAAATGAAATGTATCTGGTGAATTAAAATTGAACATTCACGCCTAAGAGAGCAAATTCAAAGATATAATTGAAATGCACACACAAAACTGCAATTGTACAATTGATGTGGGCCTGTCTCTAAAGGTAATTGCAGGGCTTTGGTCCTTGAAAGGAAGTGAGTCTTGGAAGTTATTGTTGGTGGGGTACAAGAGTTGAAGCTTACTACACTAGCTCATTGATGTCCATTTTGGTTTTTGTTAACTGGACCCTGTCTATTTTTGTAGGTCTTTTCCCCACCTCCAATGGTTTGATTAGTGTAGAGAAAGAGAGAATTTATAGGGTACTCCTTCATCTATATATATATATATATATGTTGGCTGTCCAAAAATTCATGTTCTTCCAAAGTGAAAGTAAAAAATATAAAGTCCCTTTGGGATTGTGTTGATCACTTAAAAGTGCTTTTATTTTAAAATGTAACTTCTCAACAGTAGAGATTTAGGTAACTGAAGTTTTTAAATGAAACTAAAATTATTTTAACTTTTAAAATTATATTATTAATGGATTTTGTATCTTAGATAACTGTTTTTCCTTTGACAATTTTAATTTTTTTTTTACTTTTTTGCAAAGATAATTTTACCCATCTTATAAAGTCCTATTATTGCTAAATAAAAGAATACTTCATTATTGGTATAAAGTGATTCAAACAACATTGTTACTAAATAAATTGAAAAATACTTTAAGGGAAACGGAATCCCCTTTTCTGCGTATGCCTACTATCTATTAAAAAAAAAAAAAAAATTTAAAAAAAAAAAAAAAAATTATACAACTACCCTTTCAATATCCCCTTTGTCTCCCATCTATGATATTTTCGCCTTTTTTTTTATGGGATCCAAAAATATAAAAAAAATTCTGTTGAATACATTATCTCCCATAGTTAGGGGTTCTTGAGGTGAACACAAACTCTCTACACCAAAAAGGCATATAACTTAATGATATAATCTCTCATTATCAAAGAAGAGGAAAGGGAGTTTGGGTGCGACAAAAAATTTGCATGTGAGTGAAAGACGAGAGTATATTTCTTGTGAATAGCAAAGAAAATTACCATTTCTACTTGAATTATAAAATAGCAAACATAATATTAAAAAATATTATTTTTCATTATAGAACCAATATCAAACAGTCCATGACTTCATGGTATCTTTTCAACAATACCGTTATATTTTGAAAATATTTTAAGATAAAAGAGAAAAGAAAAGACACGGTAACATTAGTTATGAGAAGGAAAAAAAATAATAATACCAGTAATAATTTTTATTTATATTTGGATAAATTATGGAAAAAAGAAAAATAATAGTATTCTTATTTAAAAAATGAGATGATGTAAAAGAAAAAAAAATAGAGTTAAGTTTGGACAAATCTCACATTTAAACACCTTTCAAAAATTGCAATTACTCATGTTATAAATGATTTAAATACCTTTGACTTTGTTAAAAAAAATTCTCTAAACCTAAAGAATTAAATAAAAGACTACAATATTCCTAAATACTTTGTAAATTTATAATTATATTATTTATATATATATAAATATATATTTATTCCTTCTTATATAGTATATGTATATATGCGTGTGTACATTTCAATCTCTGGTCCAATATTGGCTAATGGACTCCTCGACCAAACCAAGAAAAAATTGAATTTTCTATATGGGTTTTCTAGTTTTGTTTTCAGGCTTTTGATTATATTTTGAATCCCTACTTGCAATTATATAGCCAAGACCATAAAATAGAAAATTGAAAATCGAAACAATTAATCACTTATGGGTAATGGGTTTTTCAAGCTGGGTTTCATCATGAAAATGAATGAAACAAGCATTTGGGTCCATGGATTCCGGCGAGACATGTAGTTCGCCACCATCACTATTCCCACCACTACAACCATCACCACCATCCGGTCCATCCCCACCCTCACAACGACCACCACTACTGTGTATTCCGGCAAATGAACCACCACCGTCTCCACCCACAAACCACCATCACCAATGTATTCAGGTGAACGAACCGCCAACAACACCACTGCAATCCCGACCCCACAAGTACAACCTACAGGATATTCAAGCGAATGAACCACCACAACCTGTGACGCCACCACCACCGTTCTCACCGCAAACCACCGTCTCCATCTCCACCCCACAACCACCACGGCCACCAAAACCTCATAGCCGGCGGTGCCTTGGTGGTATTCCTACATAGGCGGCGAGATTAGTCTCACCATGGTGGCAACGGCGGCGAGATCACTGCATTGCAGCAGCTGCGTTGGTCTTGGCGTGGCGTCATGGAGCTCTATACCTTACCTATAGCCCTGTACGAGGTTTCCACAACTAGCTTTACTGACCATAGCTATGGAGAATACTTTTACTGTGCAAGCCTAAGGTTTTGGTTTTTTTTTTTTTTTTTTTTTTTGTGGTTTTTTTTTTTTTTGACTTGGAGATAGTGGTGGTGGCGTTTGTGATGGAAGCTGAAAAAGAGGATAGGTTATGAAAGAGAAGAATGAGTAGATAAAAGTAAGTAATTTTACAATTTTGTACTTTTTAATTGTTAATATTTTGAAATAAAAAGACATTAAAAAATTATGGTTAAAATAATCATTTCTTTAAAGTTAGAAAAGTAAAATTGGACATAAATGATAATAATTTTTAAAATGTGTTTCAATGTGATATTTAGTCAAACTTGAAGGTATCAGTGAAATTAATTAAAAAGAAGAAGATAATAATCAAATTATTATCATACTAAAATAAGATGGGACTCAATTGTCATAACAACTTTTTTTCTTTTAATTGTTGAGACTAGTTACTATCATACCCTTCTAGAAAATGGGACTCTAAGGGCTAGTTTGGTACAGATGAAATAAAGTAGGAATGAAATGAACAGGGAATGGATTGAGAATGGAATGAATATTCCAATTCTCTTATTTGGTTATGCAGGGCTTAAAAAGAAAAATTAATTTATATATATGTAAACCAAATAAATAAATATATATACATATGCGTAAATAAATATTTTCGATATATATTTGGAAATTGAAGAAAGAATATCAAGAAAAAATTGACTTTTATTGAATCTCGTTATTTGAGAAAAGTATGTTAGCAATCACATTGTTTAAAGCAATTTTTAAAATTATTTTTACTCAGTATTTTTTTAAGTGTGGAATGGAATGCCCATTCCTCTTGTTGGAAAGTACAATGATTTTGATAGAATGATCATTATTAGAGAAAGATGGAAAATGGACATTCCATCTTTAAAATTACTTTCCAATGAAAAGAATGAAATTAAAAGCATTTCATTCCACTTTATTTCATTCCATTCCCTTCTACCAAACTAGCCCTAATGTCATAATAATTTTTTTCTTTTAATTGTTAAGAATAATTACTATCATACCCTTTTAAAAAAGGGACTCGAGTATAATAACAATTTTTTTTTTTTTTATTTTTTTTTTTTTTAACTATTATCTTTCTCTTCAAATTTTTTCACTGTTGGAAGGATAGCATACATTTAGAGGAATAACGATCATTCCAAATCTCTTTCAATTTTTTATTTTCTCTCCATTTAAAATCACCCAAGCACACTATTCTTTTTTCATTTTTTCAAAAAAAAAAATCAAATCCAAACATGGCCTTTTAAAACCGGGAGTAAATTTTGGGTGTGCCGGGCTTACCAGGTCATGGTATGCTTGCGCAAAAAAAAATCAATACAATAGTTAGTTGGGAGTAATTTTAAAAAATAAGTGAGACCAATTTCATACTATATGCTATGTTTAGTAGGAAGAAAAAAAAACAGTGGAAGGAAAATAGGAAGGAAGGAACAAATTTCCTTTGTTCAATAGAGATGATATAAAGAAAAAAATGATAATAGAAAGGATGAGTCATTCTTCAAAATAGGAGAAAAACAAGTGAGACTGTTATAGAAGTTTTAAATTACTATAAAACCTTTCATAAATATTTAATAAATTCCATAAATAAAGTAAAGGAATTTTCATCGGGGCGGACGATAGGAGAGAAACAAGTGAACCTATTATAGAAGTTTTAAATTACTACATCACCCTTCATAAATATTTAATAAATCTTATAAATAAAGTAAGAGAATTTTCATTCGCCTAAATATGCAAGTGAACCTATTATAGAAGTTTTAAATTCCTACATCACCTTTAATAAATATTTAATAAATTTTATAAATAGAGTAAGATAGGAGAGATACAAGTTTTAAATTACTACATCACCCTTATAAATATTTAATAAATTCCATAACTAAAATAAATGATATGTTTAATGATAAAAATAACTTAAAATTTTATCTTTCATCAAATTAAATTATTACATAAAGATAAATTTTTAGATTATTTTTATCATTAAACATATCCCTTACTTTATTTATAAAATGTATTAAATATTCTCTTACCTTCTTCTCATATCCAGATGTACTAAATATCTCCTCTTAAAACAGACATAAATATTAGGTGCACTCGGGTGCATGGTGTACTAATTCATTTGAGACCTACATACCCAACATACGCACAAACACAACACGCACAATTTGAGTGAGGCCATACCTAATACCTTCTCCTACAATAAGGAGGGCTAAATCGTTCTCCTAAAACAGAAGGGACTAATAGGTCGCTGGATGCTTCAACGCCATCATTACCCATTCATTTCATAACGTCTTCCGAATCGTAAGTCCCTTTTCTCAAACTCCGAAATTCCCAGAAATCTGTGTTGTTCATAGTGTCAATGTGTCATTTACTCATCTCCTCTCTCTCTCTTCCTCTCATTCATATAATTCGGATCACCACATGACATATTCCCTCTCTCTCTTGCCCTTCCCAATTTACCACCTCTCTCTCTCTCTCTCTCTCTCTCTCTCATCCACTTGACACAGATATTCATTCAACACCAACCCACTAAAGAAAAAGCTTTTAGATTACGAACCCAATCCTGCCTTTTTGCCTCTCTTTTTGGTGGGGTCTTCTTTCTTTCTCGAGTCTTCTCGGCTTTGGGTTCATTTTTGTTGCAATTTCTTGGAAACAGACAGCCATTACCTTTCCCCTGCACTTCCAAGTCTTTTCACAATATCTGTTTCCAAGAAACAGCTTGATAATGCTTTAACTTTTTCCAGAAATTTTTTAACTGAAAAAAAAAAAAAACTTTTTCCAGAAATTGTGGGTTTCAATCGTTTATTGTACTTTTGGTAGTGGGTGTTCAGATTTGTTAGTTTTCTGGGGTCAATTACTGTTTGATGATTTGATGTCTTTGGCCGTTGAAGCTGTTTCTAGTTCCAAGAATATGGAAATTGATAAAAAGAAAGAGAAGAGTGAAGTTCAAGAATCTGGTGATGAGAGTGAGATTGAAGATGATGTGAAGACAACGGTGAGTGAGGCTTCTATGTATGCTACTGAAGATGAAGAAGATGAGGAAGGTAATAAAATTCAGCTGGGTCCTCAGCACACCCTTAAAGAACAGCTTGAGAAGGATAAGGTTTGTTTCTGCTCAAAATATGCATATTATTGTTCCTTCATTTTGTATGGAAACTTATATATATGTAAGCCTTATTGTTTCTATTTTTGTTGAATTTTGAGAGCTTAGGATGATGAAAGCCTCAGGAGGTGGAAGGAACAGCTTCTTGGGAGTGTGGATATTAATAATGTTGGAGGTATTATTGGCTCCCCCTAACTACAATGTATGATTATAGATAAAACTGGATTTTGAGGGTTATCCTCTAATCTCCTCCTAATTGCTTTAGTTTTGTCCTTAATTTGCTTAATGATAGTGATGAAGTGGAATTAATTAAAAACGACTTACAAAAATTAAATCTGAGAGAAGACGTGGTCTACAATAGGAAGGAGTGGAAAGAGAGAATTCTTATGGCCAACCCATCCATATGGGACAATGGCAAGGATGATGATGATGACAAAGTGAAAGTATCATAGGATACAATTCATTGCCTTGGATTGCAACACCCTGAATACTATATTAACAAATTGTTGCTAATTGTTTGGATTAAAAATGGGTTGCTTCATTTGTTCCCCCGTTGATATGTATTTTAGGCTCATTTTGCTTGGTTTACTTCAATGTGGAACAACATCAGGCATTTAATTTTGTTGTGATTGTTTAATATTGAAGAACATGCATCATAGAAGATGAATGATATTTCAGAATTTCTTCTGAATAATGTCATCCAAGAATTGGAAATAGGAACCAACTCTCCAGCATTTTAATAAATAAAATATTTCATATATCGAATATTTGATTTTTTGTACTGCTGCAAATTAGGTGGGGTTTCTAATGCAGTTTCCAGAATATAATTTTCCTACGCAATCAATCTCTGCAATTTGGATCAATATCATTTTCTGCCTAATGTATCAATTGCGAAGCGTTTAGCTTTCACCATAACTGTGATGCGTAATGCATTTGTTTACTCATCATAGTTTGTTTGATTTTCCGTCAAATGTATATGGAACTTCTGTCCCTGATTGGATAGAAGTTGTTTCTACCAATTTTCTACAAAAATGAACAAGAAGCTTGTGAAACAAAAATGCTGTTATTACCCTGCATATTCCTACAAAGTCAAAAAACCAGAAGTGATCTCTTTTGTTTATATTTTTCCTGGTTGTTTGAAGTCGAGCTCATTCAGAATATGTATCTACCATTTTGATTAAATTCTATGTTAAATGAAGATAAGCCCCTTGAATTCCTATCCTGCCCAACCCCCAACTCAGCATTGCACAGTCACTTTGTTTATTTGTTTCATTTAGTGCAGAAACACTGGAACCAGATGTGAAGATCCTCAGTGTTTCAATCCTCTCTCCCGATAGACCTGATATTGTTCTTTCCATTCCTGAAGATGGAAAGCCCAAAGGTGTATGGTTTACTTTGAAAGAAGGTAGTCGTTACAGCTTGAGGTTCTCTTTTCAAGTCAGCAATAACATTGTGTCCGGCCTTAAGTACACAAACACTGTTTGGAAAACTGGTGTCAAGGGTAAGCTAGCTGTGCACTAACTTGTTCCAAATTTTCCAAATTTTTGAACGTTGAATGTTTCACCTCATTTTCAGTCTTTAATTAGTGGACAGCACAAAAGAGATGCTTGGAACCTTTAGTCCTCAGCAAGAGGTTTTCACACATGAGATGCCCGAAGAGACCACCCCTTCTGGCTTTTTTGCCAGAGGTTCATATTCTGCAAAATCAAAGGTGAGCATGGCTAAGCTTTCTTATATACCAGTATACCTTGCTTAGATATTCTGGCATGAAAGATTAAAAAATTTAGATCAAATAAATGGCAATCAAGTGTCTCAGTCACCTGCCCTGATGCCAGTGGTTGTGTTATATGAGGTGGTGTTTCAGAGCTTCAAGGAAGAACCACTTAAAATTATACTAAGATGAAATAGTACCTTTCATCAGCATCTCACCTTGGTGGTACATATTTTGCGTAATCACTTTGGAATGATCCCTTCCAGGTATCTTTCTAATTGTGAGAAATGGTAGAAGGTGAGGGTATAATGCTTAGGGAAATAACAGCCAGATAATACTTGTAAATAAAATCAGCTACATAACACACCTCTTTCAACCTGTAAATGGCCCTTCCAACGAAGCTTTTGTGCCTGCTTCGTTTAGATATCTCACTACGGTCTAAACAGTAAAGATGATCTTTGCATGATTAAAAAAAAAAAGTGTTAAAAGACTGGTGAGCGGAGCTTGTTAGGGTTCTATAATAGAAGCAACTTTACATCAACTCGCATTATTTAACTGGTTGGCCAAGCATGTGGGTGTCTCGAGGGCAAATGAAATATTTTAGTTTTAGGAGTTATGATCTGAGGTTGCAATATTTGTGAAAAAAGCTATTTCGAAAATGGTTCGAGTCCTTGTGGGCATTTTGCCCAAAAGAAAAAGTTACTGAGTTCCGATGCACACAGGTGACAGTATTGAGAAATTTCTGAAGTTTTATCTCTGAAGAGTTGGGCTGATGTTGCTCTTATAGTTAGCTTCCCTCATCTTTAATAATATGATATTATTAAATATCCAAAGAACTTTGGATAAATATTGGATAAATACAGCAAACCTAAGATTAATGAGTCTTAATTATGTCTTTCCAAGTTTTTATTTGTCACTCACTCACCTTTGCTTTACTGATTTTCATTTTTGTTCGTTTTCAGTTTGTAGACGATGATGACAAATGCTACTTGGAGATCAACTACACGTTTGACATTAAGAAGGATTGGGTCAAACCTTAAATAGAGAACTCCTGCACCAGAGACGGCGCGTCTCCCTCAGTCGTTTGTGTTCTTGTACTAGCATCAACTTAAGATGATCCCCCTTTCATAGATTATGATTTTCCCCCCAAGATATACTTAACAAATTCCACCATCATGAGACCAAATTTCATAACAACAAAAAGATTTGCCATTTGGGGTATCACTCAATAAGAAAGAGAGCTTGACTTCCCTTTTAAATTTGTTCTTTTTCATGTACCAAGTCCCCCATCTGCTATGAGCTTCATATATATAACATCTCTCTCTTGTCTAAGTTGTTTTTGAATTCTTTTTGGCTAAACCATTTGGTGGAGGCTGTTAACCATTAGGACTGTCGTGTTAGATTAGTTGAGCAGGCAATGGATCTCTCTTTTTTTTCTTTTTCTTTTTTTTTAATAACTGTATTTTTTTCTTCTTTAAAATTTTTATTTTTGGCTACTGCTGCTCCTAAAGTTTGTTGAAATATATTATTACTTTCTCTTGTTTGTCTGTTCTTCTTTTGTTCTTTGATGATTGGTTTTTTACTATAATTCTTATTAACACGACAACACGACACGAGTTAAAAGGGTTCAGGTTTGGGTCATAAAGGGTTGACACGATTAACCCGTTTACTTAACCGTGTCAGGTTAGGGTTGAAGGGTTCAACCCGTGTAACCCATTTATGACCTGTTTAACTCAACATGTATAATTATGGATAAGACATATGTAATATGTTACTTGTTTAAATCCAATTATTATGGATAGTTAAGTTATTTTAACATAAACTTTATTTATGTTTTATGATTTTTCTTTTTATTTTGAATATTTGGGTTAAGTATGACAAATTTTTTCTATTATTTAGTATTTGATTAATATTAAATGTTTCGGTTTGATAAATAGGTTATTAACTCGTTAGTGTTGAGTATTGTTGACACGATTACTCGTTAGTGTTGAGTATTGTTGACACGATTATTAAATGGGTTGGATTTAGGTTTACCTATTTAGTATAATACCCTTATATCGACATAACACAAACACAAATTGCCACCCTATATGCACCTCTTAGTTTCATTGCACTCACATTAGAAACTCTCTTAGTCAATTCACATATAATTAAATTCAAATCGAAATTATGGATGGAAAATATTAATGACAGCTAATAAGAATTGTAATTCTACCTCATTAACATAAACTCTGCCCGTAAGTTGTTACACACCAAAAATGAATATTATTTGTTATAAAATTAAGAAGAAAATTCAACTTTGAATAACTTAAAAAATATTTAATTATCTAAGTCCTGGTTAGAACCCATTAATAAATACTAATATAAGTAATTCTTGAAATGCGGCTGGAAATATAAAATCCAGCTGTTGACAGTCTTTTGATCAAGATTTAATTTGGACAATATCAGCATTTGGTAAGATGCTCTATCAAAAGATGGATTTTGCTTGAAAAATGTGATTACAAATCCATAATTTTTCACGTGCCTCAGACTGCAAAATGCTTAATTTCCTTATATAAAAGGGGCCTACCAGATTTTGTTGGTGTTTAACTATATATGTATGTAAATCAGCTTGATCCGTTAACGCCGAGAGATACTGAATAATTAGATTTTTTTTTTTTTTTTAATGACGTGGAAAACTTTACAATTATACTGTCCATTTTTGGACTTGTAGGCTACCAGGGACCCCCCGCGCGACTACTCACCTCGTTCCCATAATGTAAACAGCAGGATAAGTCAATGGTAATAATGAACCTTACCAATTTAACCACGCCTCGGGTGCTAAATAATTAGAATTTGTATATAAAGGAAATGATGATTCAACAGTTTCAATAGCCTTTTCTCTATTTCTTTGGTAAATATGTTTTTAATGATATAGCTTAATTTATAAAAATAACCTTAGCCATATATATATAGATTAATGCAATTCGACCATAACCTACGTACTTAAATTTTCATTCAAAAGATTCAAAGTAAAGTACAGGTACTGTAGAGTTTGGCTTGATTTCTATGTGATTCAGCATAAGTTAATTCTAATATTAAATTTATATCCAATTGCTTTGTAAAATACAAATCAATATTATGTAGTTTTTTTAGTCAGGAAGTATTTTAATTTTAATGAAATAAATTGAGTTATTCATAAACAACTTTGGTTAAATTTGTTTTATTTGTTGAAGGCTTGTAACCATTTCCTATACTGCACAACCCTATCTAATAACAGTTTTTGCATGATAAACACTCCTCCGTGCCCATGAAGACTTCTTTGGACAAGACGAATCAAGAAAACTGCAATCAGCAGAATATTTATGCTTAAAATATTTATATAACAGAGAATGCCCTTTTTCGAATCTCCAAACCAATTTTGCCAACAGAGTACATTTCAGCTTTTGTGGTTCCACAGTATTTTTTTTTCCCCCTCCCAAATGCAGGACAATTGAAAGGAAGGATTAAAAAATATGAATATTAAAGAAACTTCCATGTGCCAAAAACCTAACATGATTGGATAGGAAATTGCGATCCCTCTTTCATATTAGAAGACAAAGCCTAATATGAAGACAAAGCCCATCTACCAAAGTCAAACATAATTACTAGTAGCATTTAATTAATGAATTTTAATTAAACATAATTTGACTACGCATTCCAATGAATTTCACATGATTTTGCTTTGACAAGTCATTTAGAAACCAAAGAGCCAGCGCTGGTCCCACCAATCAGGGCTCTTTAATGTGTTCAGCCTCTTTCGCGTTTGTAAGTCATAATTGTATTGTGGTGTTAACGTAAGAATATTCTATTTATTAAACCGGTTAACGTATTAATCAATTTAATAATATATTTAGGTTATTTATCTAAATGAGATATTTAATATTTAATCAAATAATAAATACTAAAATTTTTTTGTCACAATTAATTCAAATATTCAAAACAAGAAGAATAATTATAAGGCGTAGTCAAAATTTATGTTACAATGATTTAATTGCCCACAGTAATTGAATTTAAACAAGTAACATATTACATAAGTCATATTAACGATTATAACATATAGAGTTAAACGAGTCATAAACGGGTTATACGGGTTAAATCCCTAAATCTTAATCCGACATGATTAAGTAAGCGGATTAATCGTGTCAACCCGTTTAAGGTCAACTCAAACCCTTTTATTTGGTGTCGTGTTTGCAGGTCGTGTTATAATTTGTCATCCCCAGTTCCATCAATTAACCATTTTACTTTGGGTAAATTGCACTTACACCGCCTGAGGTTTTGGTCAACGCCACTCAGCGGACGATCAATGGCTTTTTTTACATTGACACCCTTGAGGTTTCAAAAATGTGCATTGACATCCCTCCAGACCTCTGAAATCATATGAAATTATCTTTTAACCCTTTGACTTGTTAACAACTCTATTTAACTCCTAAAATTACAAATTTAACCTCCTAACTAAATTTAATGGACCAAACTAACTTTTTCATCTCTCCTTATACATATAGATATAGTTTATATATAACAGTACTTATACCACCATAACCACCATGATCACCATCACAACATAAAAATAAAAATTAATATTATTATTATTTTTAAAAAAGTCAGATAATTGTACACTACTATTAACCACCACCACCACACCTAAACACCACAGTAAAAAATAAAATAAAATAAAAATAAAAATAAAAAAATAAAATTGAAAATAGCCATGGCCACCCCACACTTATAACATAGTAAGAAAGAAGGAAATGAGAGAGATCGAGAAGAGAGAGAGAGTGTGTGTCGACGATTAGGTACTAAAATGAACAAAAAAAAAAAAGAAAAGAAAAAAGACTTAGGGTATGTTTGGTGTGGTGGAATAAATTGAAATGGAATGAGAATGGAGGTGGGAATGGAATGAGAATGGAGGTCGTTTGGTTGTAAACATGGAATGTGTAAAAATGAAATCTAATTCTCATTCTTATATTTGGTAAGAAAGTTAGAATATAATGAATTTATATTGTTTCTTTAAATTACATTTTATTATTAGTAAAAAAAATTTATTAAAAAAATTAATTTGCAAAAATAAAAGGGAAAGAGATAATAAAGAGAGAAAAATAAACGAGATAGAGAGAGGGGGAACAAACAGCATATAGATACATATTATATATATATATATATATATATATATATATATAATATTTTATATAGTGTGTGTATGCGTGAATTATTTCTTTAAATTATTTTATTACTTTATTAATTCTTAGTGGGAATGGAATGGTCATTCCACTCTCAAGAAGTGGAATGGGCATTCCACCTTTTTGATAGAATGAGCATACCATTCCGCTTTTAATATGACACACCAAATAAGAGAATGGAAACAGATACATTCCATTCTACCTTCATTTGATTCCATTCACTCACACCAAACATAGCCTTAGAGATTGGGTAGAGAAAGAGACTTAATGATGATAGTTTCGTCAATTAATAAGGATGATATTTTATAAATTAATTAAATTAAATAATTAGGGATAAATATGACATTTAAAATTATAGAGGGTACTGAGTGACATTGATCGAAAGTTTAGGAAGGTGTCGATGTAATAATTTACGCTTTTACTTTTATGTGTTCATTCTCTCAAACTCATTTAGAACTTTTGGTTGTATTCCACCATCATATCATATTTAACAGATGAGAATTTTGAGTACGAAACCCGGGAGTATTGTGGATTTTCATGTAAAGAAAAGTAGAAGCGTTATGCTAAAATGAACTGTAGGGGCGCACACTAAAAAAAAAAAAAAAAAAATACTGTAAAAATAGAAGGGGTGTCGGCAGGGGAGGGGTGCGCATGTTAGGCAAATTATGGAGCTTTGTTAGAGTTGGCTTCTATGAGTAATGAGAGCAACCCGACAACCAATCCTGGTTGGACCAACTATCAAGGTGGACCAATCTAGATTCTAGACACCCAGCAGGGCCAGCACATAAAAATCACATTACTACTTGATTAACTAAAAAGTACAACGGTTATATATTTTGATTATTACACTAATTAATCCTCTCGATATTTTCCTTTCTTCTCGTGCCTTTTTAATTTTTTTCCCTCTGTTGCTTTTAAAAGACTGATTAGAAACTTTCTAGTTTCTATTGATGATTACTAAAATACAAGCTTACTCAGTCAAAGGGGCAACTTTAACCTTGTCACTTCATGTCGAAAAAAAAAAAAAAAAAACTTGTCACCTCATGTATAAAAAATAAAATATATTTGTTTCCTTCCTTTTGATAGAAATAGATAATAATTCATTCATTAACCTTAACACCCTGTGATTTCTTTATTCCATTTCTTTTTTATTCCTAGAAATTACACTTTCTTTTATTACATGATTAGGTCAATTACAACTCAACACCCTGTGATTTTGGCGAAAATCATGTAATAATTTTTGATAGGCAAAAAGGCATAAAATCCCCCTTTAACTATTAAAAATAAATATTTTATTTATTAAATTATAAAATCGAGCAAATTAGTATCACAATTTAAAAAAAAACGTGCATATTGCCTCTGCTAAAAAATAAAAAAATAAAAAATTACCCTCAACACCACTCATGTAATATAACTTTTGTATTCCTAAAATTGTCAAGTGTTTTAGTTGAGAGTCATTTGAGTGCTAGGATCGGCTTCGAATAATAGTTTTAAGCATCCATCACTTTTATGATCCGCTTTGAGTTTAATTGGATAATTTCTTCATTAATTTCATATATATATATGTTTTCTCTGTGTATGCAATTATATATATATATATATATATATATATATATATTTGTTTTCTCTGTGTATATTTGGCGTCTTAAGTTGGGAAATACTGTCACAGAACTACCTTTAAGGAACTTGAAATGAAATGCTAATTTATTTATTCTTACTTAATTAAAGGTATAATCAATAAGCATTTGTAAGATCATTTTTTGTGTCATGCTCAGGGTAGCTATTTTTTCTTTGACAAACCAGGAATTCATCATACAATATACAACTACACATATATATATATAAAGTAAATTTTGTTCCTGAAAATTCATTGAAAATAAATGGAGAGTTACAAACTTTAATTTAGTTATAAGAAAATACTTGTAATTATTTATCATACGAGTTTTTCTTCACTTTTCCTTTATTTATTTTTAGGGTTAATTTCATGACATCCCCTGAGGTTCGCTATAATGATAATTATCTACAAGTTAGACATTTTTTTAACAATGACACTCCTATCAGGAAATTGAATCCAAACAGCCCCTTAAAAGATGTAAAAAGTCAAGATTACCCTTTAATATTTTATTAATTTAAATTGTCAAATATCAGAACTCTTGGATGACGCTTTTGCCCTTAGTACTCTATCTCTCAATTCTCTCTCTTTCAGGAACCTCCTCTCTCAATTTGAGATATATATATATACAAGTATATTATTTTATATGCGTATATATCGGTTAGTTAACTTCATCTTGATCAAAGCGGCGGTCTCTATATACCCTTAATCATATATGTATAGAAAGAATCGTGATGTTCCGTGGTGGTACGACGACAGCAAGGAATTGAGGGTCTTGCCGCCCGCTCATGGCCGGCGGTGCCTCCATCATCTCTCTCTACCACCATGGCCTCCTCTGGTTCGTTCTTTCAAGATTTTGAAACTGCTCCAAAGAAGAGCCCCTTGTGCTTGTTTTTTTTTTTTTTTTTTGGTTTAGAAAGATGTGGGTCTTTTTATTTTTTATTTTTATTATTATTTTTTTTAAAGAAAACTAAAGAGAGACGGATATGTGAAAACTGATTAAAGAAATATTAATTTCCATCTACATATTTGAAACCCAATTCATTTGGTTTTGGCAAATTGATGTATGGAAGCTCTTACATCAATTGATTGTGATTATATATATATATATATATATATATATATATATATGGCACCACTTTATGTCTCTTCTCCATCACTCCCTCCTACCTAACCTCTTCCACGATCACCACCACCCCCACTACCCCAACCAACCAATTAGATATAGACTCTCACAGTAATCTTTAGGCAACTGATCTTCCATAGGTAGGGTTCAATGATTTAGCATAAGGCAGAATTAGGGTCTGCACTATATATATATATATATATATATATATATATTTGTATGTGTAAAGAGAAATTGGGTGGGTTGGATTTGTAGGGATGGAGGTTAGTTTGGTTAATAACATGACTTTCAAAGGTTAAAAAAGTAATTCCATATTTTAAAAATGTCAAATAACTGGTCAAAGGGTAAAATTGTCAATTCATCACGTGTAGTGATCATTGAGGGTGTCTTTGTTAACTTTTTAAAACTTTTAGGGATGTCATTGTTAAAAAAATGAGTTAATTTCTATATGTTTGTCAATAGAACAAATTTTAGAGGGTGTGAATGTAACTAATCCTTATTTTTATGATCTTTAAATTTTTAATTATAGAAGTTAAAATAAATTAACACACATAATTATTAAACACCTAATTGCACCTACACATATTACTTCATATGGCTCTATACGCCTACAAATAATTTATTTAATGTATTGACCTTAAATTTTTGTTGTGAAATTTTGTTGGAGACTTGGTACTATTGAAGAGAGAGATCATGTTGCACAAAACACATGGAAGAAGAAATGGGTTTGCTAAAATGAATGGAAAATGCTTCTCTTAGGCAAAGGGCTACAATAGTCATATTTTATACAAATAGGATAAGTCACGTAATTGTTGGCCGAAAAGATGTAAGAAGTGACTGATAAGGGGGTAATATACACGATTTTGATACTTTTGGTACTGACTTGATCTATTTTATAATTTAAGTAGGTAAAATACTAATTTTTGACAGTGGAGGAGGATTTTTTGCTTTTATTTCCTTTCTGATTTTTGCCTCTTGGAGAGTCAAAAGCATTTTGCTATATTTGGACCAGCGCATTTTAGCAAGATCCCATTTAGTGGAAACTCGCAAATTATCATGAGATATGAATATCTAAAGAAATTAATGGATGATAAATTGATAATAATGAAAATGATTTGGTAGGGTAGAGTGCAAGGATGGAGAGACTAAAGGACAGAACAAATAGAAAACTAATTAGTTGAGAGTGATTTAGAAAGCCCACCCCACATCACAACTTTCCCTTAAAGTCTCTCCATTAAAAGACCACGTAGTAATCCAAGAGACAACAAGAAGGACATAACCCGGAGTAATTAGTTGCGACTTTCTATCTCTCATTATTTCTTACCTCCACTATTTATCCCACCATTAGTTGCCACCTCCAACCCAGTTGTTTTTCCTTTCTCCTTCATAAACCCTTCCTTTATTCTCGTATATATATTCCCATTCATTACAGTCTCTGTTGTACTATAACCCAGCCGGCCTTTTCTCTCTGAATTCCTCTTGGTCGGGTCAGTGTTTCTAGCCTCCTTTCATTGCACTTCCTCTCTCATTAATGTATTCCTTCGATTCTGCATTTAAATTTTGGGGATTTATAGTTTATTTTGGTCATTTATGTTAAAGGGTTTTTCGTGTTTTATTGTTTCATAATGTTTTTTTTTTTTTTTTGGGATGAGTTGAACTAGATCTGCTTCTTTATTACAATTGATGTATTACATTGCGTTTTTTTAGACTCTCTATGTTCTTCCAGTGTTTATAGTCACGGATTTTTTTTGATGTGGTACTCGTCAAGATGGGAATTTTGATTTGGTTTTTCTTTAGAAAATTAAGCTAGGTGGGTTTCTTGATGAAGTTCCCAAACAAGAAAATGGATCAAATTTCAAGCGAATTTCAGATAGCATTAATGTTTCATAGTCTCCACATTACAGACTCTGCTTCTCTGCACGGTCTAATGGACTCAGATCCTCTTTTAAGCATTTCACAGTTTTCTTCTCTTTTTAATTGTTAAGTATATTTTTAAATGGGATGATAAAGATCTGGTCTAATTATTAGCTCAATGTGTTCTCGGCATCGGCAGAGATTTTTTCAATTGGTATTTCTTAAGAATTACTTTTTGTACTGATAGGAGGTAAAATTTATAATTTTTCATTGTTTCCAATATGGGGTTTTGATGTCGGGGCTATTTTAAAGTTTTTTCTACTCACATTATGGTTTAATCGGATTGTCACTAATGGGTTTGTTTTGAAAGACTGTGATCTGACTGTTGATGGGTTGTTTCTTAATCTGGATTCAGGAATTGTGTTTAAGCTTGGTTAAAAATTGAATTTTCTATTGGCATTAAGTTCCAATATTAACTAAGGGAGTATTAGACTTTCTCTCCTTCGTTAATATTGTTATGCTGATATCTAATCATTGGTGGCCTTTGATTCTTGCAGGAATTTGGGGAGTCTGTTCACTAAATTAACAAAAAGAATTTGTGAAAGGAAAATGGAATACACAATGACTTTTGTGGTTAGTAGTATACTAGTGATTTTGTGTTCTACATCAGCATATGCTCAGATTGTTGGATCTCCATCACTAAGCCCAACCCCAGCACCTGCACCAGCACCGGATTTTGTAAACATAACTGCTTTGCTCAGTGTAGCTGGCCCCTTCAAGACGTTCCTAGGTTACCTTGAGTCCACCAAAGTCATTGAAACCTTCCAAAACCAAGCCAACAACACCGAAGAAGGGATTACCATCTTTGTACCAAAAGATGATGCCTTCTCATCTCTTAAAAAGCCCTCTCTCTCCAATCTCACCCAAGACCAGCTCAAGTCACTCTGCCTCTTCCATGCCTTGTCACATTACTACACTCTGGCAGACTTTAAGAACCTCAGCCAATTAAGCCCTGTTATGACGCTTGCTGGTGGACAATACACTTTAAATTTTACGGATGTTTCCGGGACAGTGCATATAGGTTCAGGATGGACAAACACAAAAGTGAGTAGTAGTGTACATTCGACTGATCCAGTTGCAGTTTATCAGGTTGACAAGGTCCTTCTTCCAGAAGCAATCTTTGGTACAGACATACCTCCAACTCCGGCTCCGGCTCCGGCTCCGGCTCCTTCTCCTGACATAGCTCCGGCTGCAGATTCTCCAACCGAAAAAAGTGGAAGTGGGTCATCTTCAACTTCTTCTCCATCATCTTCTAATAGGATCACCAACTGGGGTGTTTGGAGTCACTTAGTTTTGGCAATTTCAGGTGGGCTGGTATTGTTCTTATGAGAAAGGATTATTGAAGTACTTAATTTATGTTAAGGATTTTTACATCCATTCTTTAGCTTATGTTTCAAGCCATTTTTTGTTCATATATGTCATTGATATTTGATACAAAGTATGAGGATGTGAGTTATCATGTTTTGTAATTACAGTCTCTGTTTAGATGGCTTTTTGCTTGCTAGTTGCTATTTTGATGGTTGTGAATTGATAATGGTATGCTCTTTTGTTCTCTCAACCTAGACATCGTGTGTGGAACCTATTATAAGTTTATAACTAGCCTTTATCCTATTATTTAACCAAGGTCCAATTCAGTTGCTTTTGGTCTCGCTTGCACATTTTGTCAAATGAGTCTATAGATATTAACTCTCCTATTCTCCCAACTATCTTTGAAGGATCTATAACAGCCCACAACCATCAATTAAGTGTTAACATGCTGAACCTGGCTGTCTGTATTATATACTTATGACTCTAATTTCGGACCTCATGCTTGTAATGCACTCTAAAAGATTGTTAAGAGCGCCACAATCTGAAGCAAGTTGTCCTGTATGGTCCAATCCAGATTGGGGCTGTCATTGACAGTCCTAACAACATATAGGAGGAAGTCATTTAAACTCACCACATAAACAGCAACTAGGTTTTTAATTTTTGAAGCATTTTATTAAAGTCATGTGCACCCGAGAACCAAATAGAGGTTTACGTCGTTATTGATGTTGAACAAGTAATACGATCTCTAGGCAAAGTTTATGACCACCACAGGCTGCCTTGCAAGCATAGGTTTGCACAACGTGGAAGTGTATGATGTTTGTTCTGTAAACTTCTCTAATGTGGCTTGCTTGTCCACTTAGGCATGTACACTGTGGAGGTTTCATGTTTATTAGTACTTTTTCTAAATTGCAGAACTTGCATCTATATATTTGCACAATGTAGAGGAGTAGCAACCTGTACACCAAATGGGCACTCCCATTTTCTGCTTACTTTTGGTATGCGGTTACCGAGCTTTCCCAAGCTTCTGCCTGGGATGGGATAAATCCAGTATCTGGGCACATACATGACATGTATCCGTACCCGAGTTGCGTAGATTTTTATTGATAAAATCAAAATGCCTACCTAATCAGCCTTCAGGAAGGAGTTGCATTGTGGAAATGTCAGCTTCAAGTTCTTATGAACCATGCCTATTTTAGTGCTGACATTAACATGTTTTTCAGAATTGAAGTTATAAGCATATGATATCCTTTATGATTATACAACCGACCCATCCTGAGGTCATAAAGACTAGTGGCAATAATTAAACTGCCAAGAATGCATGTATTAAATATAGTCACAGGTTTGGCAATCAGTTACCAGCAAAGAATGACAAATTCTTGTTTCTGAATCTGTAAAAAGTTTGGTGTGTGTCTAAGAAGTCTACTTGTTTCTGAATTTCACATTCATGGGCAGATCGCTTTGATTGTGAACCCAAAAGTAGCAATAGCAGGAACCTTAATAGTATGCTTTTGTTTCTCTTTCATTCGTTCTGTTCTTCATTTCATCAGAAGAAACCATGTGATTTTTGTTTTCTTAAAATGCTTTTTCTGCTTTATCTAATGTAGAATGAGGTGCCCATTTTGGTGTTGGGGAATATTGATTCGTCCACTTTATTGCAGAGTATTAGCAAAGGATAAACATGGTGATTTCTTTGTTTTTGTTTTTTTTTTTTTTTTTTTTTTAAAGAACTTGATCAGAGAAGTTAATCATTCAAATGATATGGCATCAGGAAGATTATGTAGCACATTTTTATAATAATATTAATACGAAAATTTCTTACCCGTGAAAAAAAATAAAAATAAAAAAATAAATTTGGAACATGCATGCATCAAATAGACAGTTTATATGTTCAAAGCATATACCATCAAAGCGTTGGCTTCCTCCGTTTTAAAAGCATGATTGCATTATTCAAATGAACAATCAAGTAAAAGGGTAAAGGTATCAAACAAAAATTAATCAATTTTGATTTTTTTTTTTCTGGTAAATTATACAAATTCAGACTCCAACAACGGGCTCGAATACCACTGGACCAATTAATTCATACCACTGGGCAGTATTAACTTCATACACCTTCTATATTTAATTTGAATTCCAAAAGCTTTCAGGTTGGCCCATTAGCTCAGTTGGTTAGAGCGTCGTGCTAATAACGCGAAGGTCGCAGGTTCGAGACCTGCATGGGCCATTTTTTTTTTTTTTTTTTTTCTTTTCTAAAATTTTAATAAGGACCTAAGAGAGCTCGGATCTAATCGATATATGATCGAATCCGTATTTATTTATTTTTTTTCTCGGAAGGTGATCGAATCTGTATTGATATACCGATTCGATTAAGAACTCTTTCCAATTAGAATGTTGTAGCTTTTCACCTTACAAATATGACTTGACTTGAATTTTCAGTATAGTGAAATTAAAATATTTAATACCTAATGAAATGAGATTATTATATGTGTTAAAACATTTGCTCAAGTCTGGATTAAACATAAGTGCATAACATTTGAACAATTCTGATTCCTTGGGCAATGCTTGCATTATTGAATTTAGCAATTTACTGTGTTTAAATACGATTTGAATTCAATAAAAAGGGTATTTATGAATTGAATCAATTTGTTTTTGTTTACATCTGAAAATGAGTTGTTTCATTTTATGAATTTTTTTCGAAAAACCAAAAAAAATGGTGGCTTCCGATTTCCTTCTCTTTATTGTTCAAACTGCAGGCAGTAAGAGCAAATGATGCAACACTGAATATTTTACATGTAACTTGGCTTAAAAGCAAATTAAAAAAAAAATTTGTTATCACATATCTTCAAGTAACTCTTGTATTGTAGATCGAAAACCTAGTTTGACATGATGCAAGATTTTATAGAAAAAAATGTCCAAATGGCCAATTACATGCTCATCACTATGCCTCTGCTGCAACTTGTTTCAAAAGACAGTATTTGAACCCCCAGGAAAAGGAAAAGAAAAAAAGAACATGAGCATATTGTTCTTTCTTCTTCTTCTTCTTTTCTCTATTTTTTTTTTTTTTTTTTTTTTTTTTTTGTACATATATAACTTGTGTGTGTGTGTGTGTTTGTTTGTTTATTTATTTTAATTGAAGGCCATAAAATGTTGCGCTTAAGGATCATTAGGCATTAAATATTCCATTAAAGGACATACTTGTAAATGCATTGATTATAGAGTTGGGTGGGGTTGTCTCAAGCTCAATGCAGTTTTTAAGTATCTTGGACGGTACCTGCTTATGCCTCCTCGTCAGCCATAGGCGATGGTAGCAAAGCTGCCAGTCCCTTATATGTTTTGACAATTGTCTTTTCCAGTTGGTGTGTCAATTACTAACTAGTTCTTAGTAATTGGGGTTAATTTTACTCGTACCTGATGTTGGGTTATATCTCATCTAGACGAAGATCTAGTTTTTAATTTGCACTCATAATTGAAATTAGTGATTTAATATTTCACTTACACTTTAAATGTCAATTTTTGGTAGGGTCATAGTACTTTTAAGGTGTTAAATAACTATGTTACCCTTTGATCTCATATTGACTATTTTTATGACTAAACTACCCGCAACACGCCTTTCCTCTTCTTTCTCCTCCTCCTCCTCCTCCGCCCATCATTCATCCCGCCACACACATACAAACACAGACGTATACACACACACACATACAAACACAGCCATATATATATATATATATATATAGATATACACACACACATACAAACACAGCCATATATACATATACATATACATACATACAAACACAACCATATATTTATATATATATATATACACACACACACACATACAAACACACCTCCACCTTAGCCGCTGCTACTACCTGTAATGCCACATGTACCGCTCCTGCTATGGTTTTTTTTCTCTTTTGCGGAGAGCCGGAATTGGGGGATGTGGTTAGTTGTTGTAATCTTTTGCTTACAAGGCTGATTTGAGTTTCAATTGAATGTAGTCTAAGGATAGATGTTGATGAATTTATTATAATCCAATTGGATTACCTGGTGAAGAGATTGGAGATAAAGACAGCAATTAATGCCTCGGGAAGAAATTAATCAGGTAGTGACAGTAAAGATATGATTGGGATTGATAAAAAGGGAAGCTTCTTCTAAATAGTTTTACCTCAAATATCCTCCAAAAGCTTTAATTTTTTGCACATTTGGAGAAAACAACGTATTGATTATTGAACTTTAACACCATGGTTAAATAGTCTGGTCCAGAATGGTTTGGTTATACGTACGGTTATACGAAACGGATTGAGGAATGGATGGAGATTCAGAAGCGTGGACGGATCTACGAGCTCGGGTCTCTACCACCTTTTCTTCTAGTATTCGAGGGACACGTGGTGCCGATTGAGCACTGTTGTAACCAACACGGATTGGGAGCTCTCGGAATCTCAATTCCGGTGCGGTGAGCCTTCTCCATTGGAGCGGCAGGGGCAAGCCATGGCTCCGGAAAGAGATGAAAGTCAAAATTGTAGAGGGGCATTTATGTCATTTAAGATTTAATATATTTTGTATTAAAAAATTGAGGGTAAAGGGTCAATTCGCATGTGTTTGAGGCTAGAAAGTAAATTGGGATGCAAGTGAAAGTTAAAAACCAAATCTTCATCTAGGTGAAATATGACCTAATTTCAAGGGGTCTGAGTGAAATTAACCCTTTAATTTCTTATGTCATGATATATATATGTATTATGTTTTAGTGGCTTTAGGCCTTTTTGGCATTTTACATTTATAAAACCTAAATGCTATTTGCATTTTACATTTAAAAAAAAAAAAAAAATGTGAAGTTATTCACACCCCGAATGGACTACTAGCTAGGGCTGATCATAGATCGAATCGGATCGGATTGGTTCTGTTGGGGGTAAAGTTCAATCCAATCCAGACCCCACAGATTGGTGAAATTTGAAAACGAACTGATCCGTGAAATAACGGATCGAATCGGTTCGATTTCTACGGATTGGGCTTTTCAAACAGCCCAATATGATTACACTTTATCTCCCATTAAAATCTTAAATTAGTAATTAAAAACCTGTAACTAACTTTTTAACATATATCACCACAAACTTAAATTACATAATAACAAAATCGAGTTGCAAATCATCCAAAAGTGAAAAGTCTTAAATAATGAATAAAAAAAAAAAAGAAAGAGTAAGTATATTGTGTATATATATAGTTATATATATATATATAATATTGATATATAATTAAGGTAACAGATCGTTTAGGTTAACGGATCGGATCGGTTTTTTCAGGTCCAATCCATCAACTGAACCATGAATAGCTGATTGTTATTTTTGTAAACCATCACCAAACTTTGAGATCTTAAAATCGAATCTAACCATACGGATCGGATTGGCTTATCCCCAACTAGTAACAATTAAACTCATGAAGATCACTAGTAAAGACCCTAAAATATTTAAAATATTCATTTAATTTTTTAATACTTTATAACGGTTTCATTTCTAGAGGGCTTATTGATGGATTTTAATGTTAAGTTAGATTCTATGGACATGTTCTATATTTGATATAGTATGAAATTTAAATAGGATCCTAATTGAGTAAACTTTCTTTGATGGGTTAAATCTCGAGTAAAGCGTGATCTACTTCAAAATTACTCATATCCAAATCCAGTCCATGAGAGAAAATAAAAATGGTCTTAAGATTTCATTTCATGCCCTACCATCAAAGTATACATTGACATAACAAAATGCAAAACTTGGATGGTATTATATTAAATGCTTCAACATGTGTAACCTGAAAAAAAGTTGTGTAGCCTAAAATGCAAATTTAAATACTATCATTTTCAAGGTTATTTTAGCAACTGTACCACCATTCCTGTCCACCTCACAACCATCACCCAAATAGTGGAAAATATATAAGAAAAACAGGGCCGTCGTCAATACATGGCACCACCACTGTCAATGCACTCCCAAACTCTCAATTCAACAGTTTTTTAGTGATTATTTATATATATGAAAAATTATTATATGATTCGAAATATGATAGCACGTAAATAATTTTTTTTTTTTTAAATTAATCTATTTATTTTACATGTTAAATTATAATTAATGCAATCACACACCATATAATTTTTTTTTCCCGAAGGACATTATCCAAACACAATAATAATTACTACTGGAAGTGTACAAAAGGTGTGACAGACACTTTCATTTTTTGTTTTGATTTTGTGATAAAAATTGAAAAATTGTTTTTATTATCACACGTTGTAGCACTCACATGGTTTTATTTTGGGTCCCTTTTTATTTGTTTCGCCTCCCCGAGTATTCGCGGGTCCAAATGGCGAAACGGTTTCCTCTCTCTCTCTCTCTAAACTCTCTTTCCCCCCTCAATCGGACGAGCTTTCTCTCTCTAAACAAGCACACATTGGTTATCTCTATTCCATTTTCGGAGGCTACCTGAAAAAAGCAGACCATCCAGATATGATTAAGGTCTTAATTCTCATCACGAGTTTCTGAGTTAAGAAGGTTCTTTTCTTTTACTCCTTTCTCTATCTGGACATCAATTTCCGGGTTTTGATTGTTTCCCTCTATTTTCATTCTCATTCGTAGAACAAATAGATTCTCTCCACCCTCTGTTGGTTACTGAGAAAAACAAAGGAGCTTTATAGGAAAATTCAGTTTTGAACCTGAGTTTTATTTAATATTTCAAGTGATTAATAATGTAATATTTTGTTTTTGTTTTTCCTTACATTTTCTCAGCAACCATTTATGCGATTCTAATGTTGAGCAGTCATATGAGGCTAGATTGAACATGAATGCGCGTAAACCACCTAACCAGCAATAATTCCCAATTGGGTCTTCATATGTTTACATTAATATGGATCTGAGTTCATTCTTGGACCGATTTTGTATTGATTATCAAATTTTTTCATGCTTAGATTGGTTTTTTTTTTTTTTTTTTTTTACACCTGGTGTTTATTTTTGTAGGCTGTTAGTTTTCTTCTTCACATCGAGTACTCTTACAAACAGAAGCAAACATGTCTAATTTTGTTGGTGTTCTTGTCTCTGATCCATGGCTTCAGAGCCAATTCACTCAAGTCGAGCTTCGTGGCCTCAAATCCCAAGTATGTTAAACAAAGAAGTTTATGCTTTCTATTTATAAGTAAAATTATTTGTATGCATTTCCAACCAAGTGGCAATTTTTGGGTGACATATGAATGGCTTGTATTGTTCTTGTTATAGTTTCTTTCGGCAAAGGATCAAACCGGACATGTCACAGTGGGAGATTTGCCACCTGTGCTATTAAAATTAAAGGCTTTCAGTGAAATGTTTTCTGAGGAGGAGTTCAAGGCTATCTTGAGGGAGTCAACTTCTAACATGGGTGAACAAATTGATTTTGAATCCTTCCTTCGGGTGAGTTTCCGTGCACATTAATTGCGTCGCTGCTTTTTCATCCATTTGCTCCTAATGTTCTTCATGCTTGGTGTATGAATTATTGCTTTTAGGAACTGAGTATAAGATGGATATATTAAGGTTGAACGGTTTTGCTATTTAACTAGTGGCAGGTTTGATGGTTCTGCAATTTTTCTTTCTTTTTTTTTTTTAATTTTATTTTATCTATGCCATTATTTAAGCTGGAAAATATTTTGATCTCCAACTTGGCTCTTACATTATATGATCAAAATATTCTTTACTGTGTATAACAGATATAATCCGTCTTCAAACCTATGTCGCATGATACACAAATTTGGCAGTTATTCACAATTCTCTCTCTCTCTCTTTGTTGAGTGCACAAAGCTAGGGAGTGCCACCCCCTTTTGTAATAAGTACTGTTGATATTTTTGGTGGATGAAATATTATCATGAAGAAATGGATATTTTAAAAAAATGCAATTAGGGGTATTGTGTCAATGGGCAAGCCTCAATCAATTTGTTGGCATATTTGTCATTTTCTTGTGTATAGTATTGATGTTCTTCATGTTTTGTTGATGAATTATACTTACGTAGTGGAAAGAAAAAAAAACCTTAGTGAGGTTTTGTGATTGGCAGGCATTTCTAAATTTACAAGCGCGGGCGACTGCAAAATTAGGTGAATCGAAAAATTCTTCTTCATTTCTCAAGGCTTCCACAACCACACTTCGCCACACCATTAGCGTATCTGAGAAGGCTTCATATGTTGCCCACATTAACAGCTTTCTTCGAGATGATCCATTTTTGAAAAAATATCTTCCTATAGATCCATCTACCAATGCTTTATTCGATCTTGCTAAGGATGGAGTTCTTCTCTGGTATATATAAAGCACCCACTTTACACTTTTATACTTCCCAATGAAATGTTTGTGTTTTTGATCCATTTAAGGGTTCATGCAGTAAGCTCATTAATGTGGCGGTGCCTGGTACGATAGACGAGCGAGCTATTAACACCAAACAGGTTCTAAATCCATGGGAAAGGAATGAAAACCACACCCTCTGCCTCAATTCTGCAAAGGCTATTGGCTGCACAGTGGTTAACATTGGCACACAGGATCTAGTTGAAGCAAGAGTAGGTTTTGCTAATGCTATCTATTGGAATCTTGTTGTATGTTAATAAGTGATGTGAAGTTGCTGAAGTGTCTTCATTTTGTTCACTCTGTAGCCCCATCTGGTAGTTGGGTTGATTTCACAAATAATTAAGGTATCTCCACTAATTCCCTGCTAGATATGTACCATATATAACTCATGTGGATTTGTTTTTCTGAAGTCTTAATCTCGTTGTATTTCCATATGGTGCCAACATCAGATTCAACTCTTGGCTGATCTTAATCTGAAAAAAACTCCTCAGCTTGTGGAATTGGTGAATGACAGCAAGGTCAAAGGATATTGATTAGTTTTGCTTCTTTTTATGTTTCTGTAACACGCACAAAAAAAAAGGAGTTTTATCTACACTTTAATATATGTCTGAAAATCCCAAGGGGTTAGCTCAAGTGGATAAGAACTTGGCCCTAGTGCCTCATGAAGCATCAGGTCTAATGTTCGAATCCTCTTGGATGCAAACAATTCCTTGAGGGGGGTGTGAGTGACAACTAGGAAAAAATATATATATGTCTGAAACAAATTACTCAACATCGAATTTGCAGGATGTGGAGGAGCTTATGGGTTTACCCCCAGAAAAGGTTTTACTGAAATGGATGAATTTTCATCTGAAGAAAGCAGGCTATGAGAAACAGGTTACAAATTTTTCATCTGATCTCAAGGTAAGAGAAAGTTCATTACCTTTTTAATTAATAAGCTTTCTTTGTTAAATGTGGCAATGTCAATTTAAGTTGGCATGGTGTAGTGATGAGAATACTTATTTATTTGTTAAGTAGATTTGTGCATATGTCTTGATGAAATTCATTTTTCTTGTAACATTGTAATCAAACTGTAGGCTGGGCAAAGCCAGGGAGATGGCCCCTCCACCACTGTCCATTGATAGGAGGAGGGGGGTGGAGGAGGGAGATAATGATTCCTTCTTTTTCAATTGTTCTTCAGTACACCTTGCATTATGAAATTTCTATACAATCCAGTTGTTCTCGAGATTTATTCTTTCTTTTTTTTTCCTAGTTGATACACCCCCCCCCCCCCCCCCCCCCCCCCCCCCCCTTCTCAAGGAATTGTTTGCACCCAAGAGGATTCGAACCTTAGACCTGTCGAGATTTATCCTTTACGAAGTTTATTCATTAGAGTTGCAACTCAACTGGGTTCAGCCTGATCATAAATAGGTCTTTCAGCAAGTTTTTGCAACTGTTTTTATTATTTGGGTTAGTCTTGAGTTGAAAATTTTCAACATGACCTAAACTCTAGTTGGGCATGGACAAAAGTGTTGCAAAACTCTTGATCACTTGACGGGAAAAAAAAAAGTTACTTAAACAATGATATAGACTGTTAAATTTGTGTTTCTGTAGTGCTAGTGGTTTTCTTTTTTCCTTTTTTCTTATTTCTTTCTGTGGACGATATTATAGGCTTATGCACTTGCAGGATGGAGAGGCCTATGCTCACTTGCTTAATGCTCTTGCACCAGAACATGGTAGCAGCACCACATTGGATGCTAAGGATCCTACTGAAAGAGCGAATTTGATTCTTGAGCATGCAGAGAAAATGGATTGCAAAAGATATGTTACTCCTAAGGACATTGTGGAGGGATCACCTAATCTAAATCTTGCATTTGTTGCACAAATATTTCATCAAAGGTCAGAATAAATGTGATCCTTTCACTTGGTCTTTTGTGGAACAAAAGTTTGTTCAATCTTCACATAAATGGTGTTGCACATGTATGATTCGAATTTTAATTTGTTCAGACAATGGGCAGTAAGAAGAGAGATGATACTGTAATGAGATCTATCCTGACAATTGTTTCCAGGTTCTGTGCAATTGTACAACCTGCTAAGACATTTAGAGATGCTGGGTGCCTGGGTTAACAAGATGAATTTTATATATTTTTTATTGTGCAAATTGTCTTTTCTTTTCTTTTTTTTCTTTTTGTTATTGCCAATGGATATCTGTATCATTAGTCTGTGGATTTCTTTTCGCAGGAATGGTCTATCATTGGACAACACCAAAATATCGTTCGCTGAGATGATGACAGATGATGCTGAAACGTCCAGGGAAGAAAGGTGCTTCCGACTTTGGATTAACAGTCTTGGAACTGCTACATATGTCGATAATGTGTTTGAAGATGTCAGAACTGGGTGAGGTTCACATCTCTTGCAATTATTAACTTCCAATTTTATATTATTTTTGGTTAACGTTTACAACTCTTGCAATCAGATGGGTTCTCTTGGAAGTTCTTGACAAAGTTTCTCCAGGATCAGTCAATTGGAAGCAGGCAACAAAACCCCCAATTAAGATGCCTTTCAGAAAAGTTGAGAATTGCAACCAAATTATAAGGATTGGAAAGGAATTAAACTTCTCCCTTGTGAACATAGCTGGAAACGATATTGTACAAGGAAACAAGAAGCTCATACTGTGTTAGTGTGCTTCATCTTTTAATCCCTCAAACCCCAGAATACATGCACTCTTATAGACATGGCAAACATGGTTTATCTTTATGAAACATTTTTAATGCTGAACACATGGCTAAAAGAAGCCAAGCATGAAGAGAATATAGTTGAGTTATTTTTTATGGACTCAGGTACGTGTATCAAGTATGAGCATATATCCACACGTCAGACGCATCAAATCACCAAACAGGACACATGGATAGTACAATATATATATTATTTATATTTATATTTTATTTTCTAGAGTAAAATAATGTCTTCATGTAGCATAGTGTTCAATATGGGCATTTCACTTGTTTTAAAGCAATACTATAATAAAATTGAATTATTGAATATGTATTCTAGGTGCATGTCCAACCAAAAGTGTTGGGCACATATGCTACACATGTCCGAGTATCGTGTGTTCTACATAGGTACTTCACCTACTTTTGAAGAGTCCGTGTAACATAGGTTGTAAGAAAGGATGAGAGTTCGTTGTAATTGTATACACTAGTTACTTACTAAATAGTATATATTGAAAATTTATGTGCATGAAATTTATTGAGATTCATTGTTTGACTCATGCAATTGTTAAATGTAAAAGTGTGAAACAATGAATTAAAAATTATAGATTTGTTCCATATAAAGTGCGTAATGCATAAAAGGATATTTATGTATTGCCTTGACCTCGACGCCTAGATGTCGTATTTTCCAAAAAGTTAACATGTAGCACCGTGTGTGTGTGTATGCGTGTGACATGTCCCTATCCATGCTTCATAGGATACTATATGGCATGTTGTTTGGACCCTTTTACTTTAACCATCTAAGGTGCTACTTACGGTTACTTCTAACCAGTACATTAATTTTTTTTTTTTTTTTCCCTAAATAACCAGCACATTAATTTGTTCCTCTCTCGGTGGAAAATGTGGTTTCTACTATATGGGATATTGACTACATGGTCTTACTGGTGTAGTAATTTTTGTATGGTAAAACAAAGAGAGGTTTCATATATAATATTCAATCAATCCCTGATAAATTGAATGGCTGATATTAGAGAAAAAGTGATGGGGTAGTATTTTTTATTATTTTGAATTTCTAACTCTGATATGGTAAGGGGATTATGAATGCAAAAATTCAATTGAAGTGGGTGGAGTAAGATATATATTTTCTTTTCCCCTTTTTCCCCAGTAGGGGTTGGGCAATTGGACTGACTCAAAAAATGGGTAATGAAGCATGTGTGAATTTGAGGTTGAATACTGATTATCCATACTGAAGCAAAAAGTTCTATTTTAACATTATCTTAGGATGACATACACTGCTAACAACAAGATGAATATATACAAGGTTGATAGTGTGTAAACTTCATGTGTTAGAGCTTCCCTTTGGTTGTATCTCCCCGGCAAACTGCTTTATATATACTTTGGTACCGGAAATATCTTGCTCCAGTAGTTTTGATGTAATTGAACTGAAAGAGTGCCCATATTATGTGACTACTTAAGTTTCACTAGTTGATATATGCTGAACTGTGAAATGTAGTCATTTTGTATGGTTCGAGAATCTAAATTAAGCAACTATATGGGCAAGAGTTTCCCTTAATATAACCATGTAAATTCTTATGTATTTGTCCATCAAAGCTTGTCATTAACCATTGTTCATTGAAAATTATTGGGTAGGTTGTTGTTGCTTATTGACACACTTTTTTAACTGCCTTTTTTTTTTTTTCAAAGGAATTTTTGACCAGTTTCCATGCTCATTGTTTTCTTCTTCTAAATATTACGTCTGTTTTATTCTTGAGAAGTTTCTCTGGTTTATATTTCCTTCTTTGTTTAGTCATAAGAAGGAAAATAAAAGAAAAAAAAAAAAAAAAAAAAAACCCTAATTGTTCATCTTTCCTTCATCAGCATTTTTGTGGCAGTTGATGAGGTTTAGTATGCTCCAACTCCTTAAAAACTTGCGGTCGCACTCCCAAGGAAAGGAGATAACAGATGCTGACATTCTAAATTGGGCAAACAACAAAGTGAAGAGCTGTGGCAGAGCGTCTCAAATGGAGAGCTTCAAGGTAACCAAGAAAACCTTGATATTGTACAGTTATAAGATTCTCAGGCATGATGATAGCTTAATACTTCTACGCAACTCCTCTATTTTTTTTTTTTTTTAAAGGATAAAAACCTTTCAAATGGAAAATTCTTGCTCGAACTTCTTAGTGCCGTGGAGCCAAGGGTTGTTAATTGGAGCCTTGTTACCAAGGGCGAAACTGGTATGTTATTTAGTAGGTGATATTGATTTTTTCAGATTGTGTATGCTGGAGAGTTTTTTCCTCTTCTTCTTGATCACCCCATTTCAAATTTGTTGGTAATCCGCTATTGATTCTTAAGATTGACTTGCACATGCATAAGAGAACCCTGAATTTCCCAATTCTGCCCAAGTTTGGTCTTCTTAGCAGGCATATATTTGGGAATTTTCTTACCAAAAAATAAATTTGGGAATTTTGTACAGTATTGAAATATTTCCAGTCTACGAAAATGATCGTAATCTTAACTTCTGTTGCTGTAATTGCAGATGAGGATAAGAAATTGAATGCAACATATATAATCAGTGTTGCTCGGAAGTTAGGGTGCTCCATTTTCTTGTTGCCCGAGGACATAATGGAGGTAAAATAATCATTTCAAACTTGGTTGTTAATATCTTAAATCACATACAAGTATCTAATATTCATACAAATCTTTGAAGTCACTCCACTTGGTTGAGGTTATGCTCATAGTTGTCTTTGCCAAAAGCATGCTACTAGACAATATCATCCTTACTGGAATTAGTGGTACAAAAATGCTATTTTTAACCCATCCTCTTTCATTGGTTGCCACCCGTCACGGGTTTTTATTCAATCCATACACTGTCGACCATTTGATAGGGAACTGGTGTTATGGATTGACCCAGTGTAATACATGTAGAGTTGATAAAACTGTCAATCTGTCATCCGGAATTCATGGTTGCATGACCAGCACCAGCTAAAAAGGAATTATTTACATTGCAGTTTCCTGTCTTTGATAACAAAATTTAAGAAATTGGTATATTTACCACGTTAGATTGATTCATAAATTCAATTTCAAGTTTCACTACCTTTTGGATTGTTATTACAGGTGAACCAAAAGATGATCCTGACGCTAACAGCCAGCATCATGTACTGGAGCCTGCAACAAAAAGCTGGGGAGTCAACTCCCACAGAAGACGAGAAAGCACCGGATGCCTTCCCAGAAGATTCTGTTGATGGTGACAATAAAGCTATTCCGGCAGGCAATGATGCTGCATCAGGTGCTGCGCTCTCACTATGAGTCGGAGACGGGGGCCCCTCTCCTGAGGTTGAAAACAAGGAACCCTCGCCACATGTTGAAAAGGATGGCATTACTGGTGGAGAATGATGAAGAATCAAATATCATTTTTTTGTTATAGTTTATTTTTTTTTATTTTTTCACTTCTCTTGTTAAAATTTGGTTTCACTTAGTTAAAGTCATTTGTATCAATCTTTTATTATAGAGGTCATGGTCATTTTGTGTGCTCTGATAAACCACAGATAAAAAAGGTTTACTGTAATTTTTTATATATATTTTTTTATTTTTATTTTTTTGTTTTGTGTAGCTAGAAATTGCTGATCTTAGGTATGTTCTTTCTAACTTCCATTACATTGTTTTTTATGGATAATGTAATTGGGGAAATTTATTGATTAATTTTTTTTATAGAAGTATTCATCAAGAGACTTTAATATATTTGGTTTGGGTTTTTTATAGAAGTATTCATCAAGAGACTTTAATATATTTGGTTTGGGTTATAATTATCTGATGTTTGAAACCCACGTGAGATGGCACCTTATTCTATTGACTCGTACAGATATTGGATCGGATCAGTTCGTTTTCGCGGGATGGAAGCTGATTGTCTATGCCTTGGTTGTTGTTTGTGAGCAGATATTGGAATTTATGAACCCTTTTTTTTTTAATTATTATTATTATTTAAACCGTGTAGAATAAATAAGTTATCAGAAGCAAATTCCTTTTATTATCAATAATGGTGTAGAATGAGTTGTGATAAACAAACAGGCATTTAGCTCTAATGCATTTACTTTCTGCAAATTCCCAAAACAAAAATGATGAGTAAACACTGTTAGGAGGGCTCTCTTCTTAATATTTTAGTTTCTTTTACTCACTCTTAATATGTGTAACCATTTGCCGTGGAATGAGGGGGTTATTGTTGACTGACACAGGCTATGTGAAGTAGAAAAATATGTAAATGAAAACTAAAAATAGGAGATGTTGAGAGAAATGACTCTTTTGGAAAACAAAATTGATGAGATAATATTATAGTAGGTGGATAATTGATGAAAAGATAGAGAGTTTATTTAGAATTGATGGGTTGTAAATGTGATGATGGGGGGATTTTTATAGGTGTTGAATGAGATCTTTTAGGGGCATTGCAATTTGACTTGTGGGACAGAAAATTTAGCATGCATTTTAACAGATTCTACTATTAAGACAATTTCAGATTAAGACAAGCATGGGGTTGATGTTAAACTTGATGAAGTAGTCCAAACTTTGACGTGCCATCCAATTTATGCTTGCACAGCTGAGACTTGCATGATGGTATTGCTGCACACAATATAAATCCATAGTCCCCATGAACAAATATAGAAAGGGCTTCAACAACAACATCAAAATTACAGGGCAGATTCAGCAATGCCCTGAATTGCAGTATGGATAAACAACTGTATAAATTGAAACAATAAACAATTTACATTCACCTAAAAACATGGATAACAACAGGGTGCTCTCTTCACTCAGTTCTTTCTTCCAAGGGATTGAAAGCATGCTTTCGGTATCTTTTACAGGGCAGCATACACCAACTAGGATGTCGGATATAGTAGTGTTATGTGTCACAGTTCGACATTTTGCCAAGTGATCACTTTATTTGTCATCCCCATTCAAAGAATTAAGCCGTCTCAATCTCTGGTCAAGCTCTGCCATGACTGCTGGTTCCTGCTTTTTCCTTTGCTTTGATATAGTGGTGGTTGTCATGGAGCCGATCTTATCAAAAGCGACCTGCAAGGATTGGAAAAGGGATGCTTCAATTTGAAAGCTTCCTGCACCCTTGATTCAGTCAACTTTAGAAATTGAGTTACTGTAACCACTAACCATCATATAGACGGAGATGGTCAATAGGATGCAAAAGTAGGATTTATTTTTTTTATTTTTTTAAGGGAAACGGGAGAGGAATGTAATCATTTCTATTTATTTCAGATATCTCCCTAGTATTTGAAATGACTCTACGTCAATGAATGTTACCACTAACCATCACACTCTTCAATCTACCATCAACAAAGGAATAATTAGGCTCTTCTTTGCTTCCTTTTTCAGCACCAACTCCAAAATAAAAATTAAACTAAAAAATAGACTTGTGCCTTCGAAAGCTAAAGAAAAGCAGTTACGTATCAATGTAATATCAACATCAAGAATCTTTTTTTATTCATTTAATTACATTATTTATAATTTATTTTTGAAGTAGGTCAATATGGAAGAGTTGAGTTACCGTCAATAACTCGTCAGGATCAAATAGTTGGTGAGTGGTCCTCTGTAATATGTTAATAACATCACCAACCTGATGTGCCATAAGCAATTCTTCTTCTTTCATCTGCAATCAGTAATTTCAGTGATTACAACCTTTTGAATTTAGTTCCATTTGATAAAAAGTAATATTGGGGAAATGCATGAAACTAGACTAAATATCTCATAGCACTGTTACCATAAAAATAGCCAAAGCCACATGAAAGAGAACCTTTGCCCCCTCATAGAAAAGAACATCCCACACCCGCAAAGTTGTCTGAAAATAAATTTGCAGGTAAAAGATTATCAGCCGGAATAAGAATTAAGTGAACTAGTGTGTACGATCTATGTAAGAGCAAATAAAACTACGATACATACATACATACATACATATATATATATATATATATATATATATATATATATTGTGTGTGTGTGTGTGTGTGTGTGTGTAGAGAGAGAGACACAGGGAGGAAGGGAGGGAAAGAGAGAAGGAAGCAATAAAAGAAGTTTTAACCTCTGAAGGCAAGCTTTTAGAAAAGAGGCATAGGAACCACTCAGTGGCAACAAGGGAGACATCAAACTCCAAAGCTTCCAAATGAGCAGCTATCCTGCATTGTTCTTTTTTCAATTAAGAACAAAAAATACAGACAAAAAGGAAAATACGTGACCGATCACTATGTTATCAAAAGTAAGAAAGGGAGAGTACCTTGGACATTTTTTAACCAGCAGATCTTTAAATACCCTTTGTTCAACATGGCATCCTGATAAGTTAGTCGTGTAACAATCATTAACTAAAACATTTTCCAGAAGGACGGAGAGCATCCAAAAAGCATCTTCTTCTGTTTTCATCACAAGCAACAACAAAGCTGCAACATAATTTAAACCCTGCAACAAGCATAATTCAGCTCATGGTAATGAATTTAGAATTTGGTAAGAATCTCAACATCATTAACTAAAGCAGGTTTTTCCTTTGTGTCATTACATAGAAATCTCTGAGAAACCATCCTGTTGTCTCAAAGAAATCAATTATTCATGTAAAATGTACTTAAAAAAGAAAAAGAAAAAGAAGAAGACAACAGTGAGTGGCTGGAAAGGAGATACACCGGAGGTTCAAATATGACAACAAGAACGGTCATGCTTAACAATGGAGTCAAAAAATAAATTTGGTGATGGATGATTGAAACCAGAGGATTCAGAGTAGGCTCTACATAACATAAGGGATGGCTGATGAAAATGGTTCAGATATGTATGAAGAAACCAATAACAATGGTAATCAAGAGATGTTAAAGCAATACAAGGAGAGGACAACCAAAACGGACAGTGAAAGGGCTGTAATAAAAATGTTACATGTTAAAAGAAATATACAGATATGTATAGTTATATATTTAATTGCTAAAAAATATAACGATAAAAGCAAGCCACTTAAGTGCATGGGTAAGAATCGAACTCAAACTGGTGAGATGAACTTCAGAAACTAACCAGTCAAGCATACCCCTTTTGATTTGCACAATATTTTTATATAATACTCCTGATATCTAATTAATAAAATCAATTTAGACAAATATCTAATTATATTTAAATAGTCCTATAATAAATAAAAAAACTCAACAAAAAAATATTATTTAATGAATTAATATGATACTTTATTGAAAGGGATAAGTACATATACAGAGTTACAGACACTCCCGGTCTCAAAATTTTTAAAATTTGACGCTCTCACACACTTGCTCTTGCTTTTGCTCCAGCTCCCACTTTATGTGACTTAGGCAAAGACATATTCAAATAGACTAAATTTTGGAACAAAATGCTTGCAGCAGACACAAATAGTTGACGCATAGCAGATTTAGATTATAAATAAACTTTTTGATGCTTGAACTAGCAAAACACAATAGAGAGAGAACTTCATGATAGCCACTTACAAAGTATCATTTGAGTAATGAAAAATTTACTGGTGCATTGTTTAAACAAAAACGATAGTTCCCGATAGAGTGGCTACGCAAAAATGATAGTTCTCGATAGACTGGCCACACAAGATTATCTGAGCCTAAAATGGTTGGGATAAGGCTTTGCCGAGTGCTTAATAAAGTCTTAAGGTTGCAACATAGTTGTTTTTCAGAAGAAAGTAATGTTATTATAGTTATCATAATTATTGTCATCATAACAAGCATGAAAATGCAGGACTAACATTAGTTACTGGCCTTTATTTTAGTTATTATAACAAGTGAAATGAACCTTTAGTGTTACTGTTATTACTTATTATAAAATAAAAAAAGTTAACCCACCTGACAGTAACCAACATCAGAATCACGGAAAGAATATCCCACAAGGACACGTCTGAGAGCAGCATGACCCTCTGGGGTGTCCAACCATGGGTGACCAGGAAAGGTTCGCGGTAGATCCTGCACATTTATACATATAAAAGAGTTAAAAGTGAATACTAGACATGGCCTTGACATAATATTTCTTACACATCTGAGAGCAGCATGACCCCCAGCCTTTACTAGAGATAGATAAACAGAAAAAAGTGAAATATAAAAAGGTCTCCAATATGCAAGTCGTGTTCAAACACACAGATCTTTTGGTAGGCTAAGCTATATACACATACTTGACGAATCGAGTTCCTAAAACAGAATGCCATCGGTGACTTCTTCCCCATAATAATAATAATAAAGGGATAAATAAGATTAAAATGCTAATACATACACCCATACCAGAGTTCAAACTAAAACAATGACGGAACAAATGGAAGGCAATTTCAGATAACAATTTTATGTCATCAAGGTGAGCTCATAGTTCCAAATGAACAATCAGAACGTATACCAAATCATGGCAATTTCTGGAAATCTATAAAGACAATACAGATTAGATTGCTTGAGAACCACATAACTGTCAATCTAATTTATGCTCCAATCTTAATCCACATGCCTGAACTTGAGGACATACGCACACTTTGAACAGAAGTGTCTTCAGAGCTAACCAAATGAAAACTTGAAAAGATTAAACAATGCACGATACTGAACCGTCATAATCCTCCTTACCTATTACAATGAGGTACTGCCAAACAAGCTTTAGAAATATCTTAATAGAATAGTCTCAGATCTATACCCATTGTTATCTTAGCAACTGGCTTTCATCATGAACTAAAATTCTAATCATTTTGGCATTTGTTCTTTTAAACTGGATCAATAACCTTTCACAACTAGACCATCACAATTCTCGGCAAATAGAATAAGTTCAGCCACTTGATGCAATAAAAAAAAAAAAATTCAGATCCGATGTTTATTTTAGACACTCAGATGCCATTTTTTATTAACCATACCATATTCCACACTGAATATCTGACAAAAGAGCCTCCTTGGTTAAAGTGTATCATTCAACATTGCCAGTTGATTTGTTGGAAGGTTAGCAGATTCTATTTCAGCAGAATTAACAGAAAACTAAATTTAACCCATTGGACACCAAGAAATTTCAAAGATAACATCAAAACCAAGAAGATAATTGTGATGTATCTATGCTTACTAATTGTCACTGCAAACCACCCCTCACAAACCAGTAATCCAGAATAATTCACAGTGCAATAAGAGGAATTCAATTATCATCAAATCTGAAACAATTAACCAATCCTTCATATGTAACAATCAACAATATAGTGCAGAAACCCAATAACTCACATGATCAATTTGGCGCGTTGCCGGCGTGGCTTTATCCTCGACTGCCTTGATCAAATCATCGTAATAGCTCTCCGGCACCGTTGATTTCTTCTTGGCCGCCCCGGACAACGAAAACCACACCTTAGGCCGTAAAACCGGTGGAATTCCCTTCCTAATTAGCCTCTTCAGCGTGATTGCATTCACTAAAGCTGAAAATTTAAGGGAAGATTTTAGGGTTGATGAAATATGAGTCTGCAAATACCAATTTGCGCCTTTGTTGGCTTCCAATGCCCACCAGACCCTACCCTGTTGCCTCACCTTCTCTCTAACCTCATTCAATATATTAACATCATCAACATTGCCTTCTACTGTGAACCCATAAAGATCTTGAAACTTTACAGTGAGGTTTGCCCTCCTAGCATGAATGCTTGGCCTCAGAATGGGTATTTGGGCTTGGAATTCTAAGGCCAAGTCTCTTCTGCTTTGGGTTCCGTACATTTTATGAGGTTAAAACGAAGGATCAAGAACTTCAGAGAGAGGGAGGGAGAGAGCGAGAGAAAGAGAAAGAGAGGGTGTCAAATTTGGAACAGAATAAAAACCATGAAACGGTCAATTTTGAAGGCTAACAGCTTGAAATTGAACGATCAAAAATAGAAAATTGGTTCTTTTGGAAATAGTTACCTAAGAATTTTATTGGAAAAGAAATTTCAGCAAAATACCCCCATTTCTATTCGCCATTGAAGTTCCCTTTTTGGGGCATTAAATTCTTTGAAACCTTATAAATTAAATGAAAATTTTGAATCTTGTCCAAAATGGGTTTTTGAAAAAAAGTTGAATTTACAAACACAGACAACACCACCACAGAAAAGGGAAAGAAGAAGCTGAAAACACAGAAAACAAAAGCACGACACAAAAGACAAGAAAAGAAAAGGAACAACAGAGATCTTTCTACTACCACCACTTGTGTGAACAGAAGAGATAAGAAATAAAAGAGACTGAGACTATTTTGGGATGGATTTGGTATCAAGAACGAAACGTATTTTGGGATTGTTTTGAAGGAAAAATGGATGATGGAAAACAGGGTTAGAAAGTGGAAAGAAAATCCCCTAATTTAGAGCAAGAACGGTGGTCTCAGGTCTGAGGACAGAAAGGTCGAAAATCAGACAGGTTTGTAGAGTCATTTTCTAAAGCTTTTTTTTCTAATTATACACATATATATATTTTGGATGTTACAGAGAAGACCCAGTAGTAGTAGTAGTAGTAGAAGAGATTCTAAGAGGAACGTTGATAATTGTGGAAGGCGATGGATGATGTTCTGAGGGAGAGAGAGAGAGAGAGAGAGAGAGAGAGATGGGAAGGTTTTAGCATTACAAAACCAGTGTTTAACGTTGGAAATCTGTAATTACCAAATTGACCCTGTGTGCTTGCAGGTGTGCTTGTTTTCAATTTTCCAAAATTGGCCTTCAATGTTGTAACCTTTCTTTGGAAGGACAAAAGTTTTTGCTAATTATCATGGTTCTAAATTGGAACCATTGTTTTAGTTTCCAAATTACCCTTTTTCACTTTCATCTTTTACAAATTTTCTTTATTTTTATTATTATTGACAAACTCACACATTCATTTACCTATTTGGGTCTGCGAAGACAAATATACTTACCATATTGGTTTTAATACTTAAATAGGCTATTTTCAATTCATCATAATTTTTCATAATTGAAGTTTGTCTTTACTTAATTTAAGTGTGTTGTCTACAAAAAAAGACAAACTAAAACGGAGAGGCGGCTCATATGAGTGTATATATATTTCCTTCATTTCTTTTTCAATTAAACATAGAGCAAGTAATAAAAATTCAACTATGATGGTTGGACCATATGAATTGAGGGCAAATTAGTACACTAGTAAAAGAAAAATGATGTAGTTCATATACTTATAAATAGTGGAAGTTAGATTGGAGTCCTAATTTTAGATAGAGTTGAATGAAAAAATGGAATTCATAAAGATTCAAAATGCCATAAATAAAAATAAAAGTGTTTGAAATGAAGTAAATGGTTATTTGGTGAAGATGTTGTAATAAGATAAAAAGGTAAAGTTAAAGGTTAAGACAGTTTAGTCAAGTAATTGGTTTTTCTTTTTTTGGTACTGATCGGATAAACTATACCAAAAATAAAAAAAAGAAAAAGAAAAAGAAAAAGTCAAAGCATCCAGAAACTATTAGAGAATTTAATAATATGATGACTGGAGCTTATTGGGATGACTTGGAGACATAGGACAGGACAAGAGGAATAAGCAAATTTCAAATAATCTTACTGTATGATATTGAGAAAAATTCAAACACAAATTAGGTAGTAAAGTTTTGTCAATAATTAAAAAGGGCATCAAAAGCCATAATTAGTCCTAAGCATTGATTAGAAGCATTAAGAAGAATTGGGTGAAATGTGTGAGAACATATATTTGTCTCATTGGTCTTCTTTATCTTAGTTGTTTTGGATCTTAACTTATAAATAATTGGTGAAAATTTCAAAGTAGTATAGAAAGAAGAAAGAAAAAATAAATAAAATAAAATAAAACTATCATGATAGTTTTCTTAAGATAATACCTTGTTATTCAACCAATAAATCAAAATATGTATTATCGGACTCATTTGACTTTTCTATTATTTTAAAAAATATCTCAATCCAATAATTAAATAAGGAGTGCTTGTGTCTTTTGTCATGAGATGACTTTCTTGATAATATTACTTAGAAAATTTTATGTCTTGTGATTAGTTTAAAAAAATAAATAAATAAATACTTATAATTACACTAAAAATTAACTCTATCATAAGTTTGTGTTAGATTGTAAAATGACTGTGAGAAAGGATTTTAATAATTTGGTGTCAAATTTGAAAATCAGAAGTTAAGAGCTAAGTAATTAATCAACTAGGGTTATTTCCTAGTGCACACCACGACTGACTCAAATTTGAATTTAAAAGGTTTCATGAAAATTAACAGACTTCCAATCTTAGATTTTTGGTTTTACTAATTAGAGAGAGATTAATAAAATATTAAAATAAATATAAACATATTTTTGCTATTTATAGGAAAAAGGACTTGAAAATATCCATTTTTGTTGATGATGGTTCATTGACTTTGAGGGGGTAAGATTGGATATTTCAATTTGATAAGTACCCTCTCTAAAGGGGGTAATTGTGTAATTCAAAGAGATATGGACGCGGTTTAATTGCTACAGCTACTACCAGGATCAGTGGAGGTGATTTAAATTTAGTATTATTTGGATGGTTTTACGTGGGCCACAAAATGATTATCTCAAACAGTAAGAAGCTGGCACTTCTGGTTCTGGGTCCACCACATATTGGGCTGATCCAACCGACTTAAAAAACAAGAGGCCGATCGCACTTGAAACCATTCAAATAGCATGTCTGTCCGTGTCCAATTAATTAAAATTACTACTAGAAGATGACGATGGCACTTTAGGCCTCTAAGAGTTGACACGTGCGACTTCCTGGTTATTGCATTAACAACAACACAATTTTGGCCGTCTGCATTAACAACAACACAATTTGTGCTGCATCTGCAGCTCAATTTGTAGACATCTGTAGATTTCTGGTGAGATTTTTTTTTTTTAGGGTAAGTACTTCTGGTGAGTTATGGGCGTGAAATATGTGAATCATCGGCCGGGACTGATAATGAGATATGTATATAAACATAAGGTCAACTGAGGATACCGGGGAAAAAAAATAAATAAAAGGATTGGGTATAAAATAAATTAGAGACTAGAGTATTAGTAGTGAAGAATATACTTTTGATAATTGAGATCAATAATATTAATAGAGTAATGATATTTGTACCGATCATTTATGCAGAATTGTTAGGCCTACTATATTTGATTGGTCATTACATGTCAAATATAAAAAATGGGACTCTCCACTTTCTTATCTAATGCATTAATGACCAATCATATATAGTAGGCCTAACAATTCTGTCTAGGTGATTGATGTAAATATCATTACACATATTATTTTTTGTTAGGTCTACCATATATGATTGGTCATTGATGCATTAGATAAGGAAGTGGAGAGTCTCATTTTTTATATTTGACATGTAGTAACCAATCAAATATAGTTGGCCTAACAATTCTGCCTAAGTAATCGGTGCAAGTATCATTACTCCATATTATTATTAGGTTTAGTGCAGAAAACTCTTATAATATAGGTTATATGCACAATGAGTTCTTCTTTTTTGAAAAGGTGAATTTCAGTCTATAATATAAAATAAAATAAAAAATGCAAATAAGTTCTTCGGACCATTTTTTTTTACAAAAAGTAAATATGGAAATTCGATTTTGCCCCTAAAGAATGTCCACTTTTGGTTTTGGTTTTATAATATCCGGTTTTGGAATTGTTTGGTTTAGCTTATCCCATTATTGGACAAAACGAGGTTTTATTTTATTCTTATCCCAAACAAACAAAATCCTACACAAATTAAGCAAAATGGTCATTTTACACTACCTGTATTTATACTTATTAATTTATTCTACTAAAATGAGGGTATTATCAATAATATATGTGTGTTTTACACTACACAGGATTATTTTGCACTATATCAATGGTAGAAGGGTTTTTTTTTGCCCTTAATCCTTATTATTATAGATAATTCAGGAATTATTTTTTACTTTCTTAATAATTTAGGAAATTTTTTACACTTTTGTCAAGGATATAAATTATAATAGTCATTCAAAAAGGTAATTTAAGAATTACTTAAAAATGCATCGCGCGTGTGAATCATCAGACGCTAAAAAATATGATCCAATGATCAAAAAAATCATTTCTGTGACGTTTTGCATGGATGAGGGGTTGCTTTACAACCCCCATGTACCCCCAAAGATTTTTTTTTTTTCCTTTTGTCATGGTACTGATTTTTTTGTTTTATTATTATTATTTTTTAACACTTTTGCCTTAATATTAAAGTTGAAATGATTTGATTTGACTGAAGATAAAAGTCAATGGTATCATATCGGAGAACAAGATATAGAAGGGTTTGGTAGTATAAAAATAAAGCAAATATACGGAGTGTTATGTATATCAATAAGTGGGGTCTACGAATTCCTAAAGGCATCAGACTTTCCTGTTGGCGTATGGAGTAAGATTGTTTTTGTTGGCTTACATGAGAAGCCTCAGCTTCATGTGTGGTGAAATGAGATAGATTAGAAAAAAGTCTCTCTCTCTATCTGTTATACTCATTCTCTCTCTATCTCAGTGAACATTACTTTTCATTTCTATAATACATATTATTCTATAGATATATATACACATATTCATTACACGTTATCAGCACGAGCTCGATCTATCTGAAATTTGAAAGAAGAAGCTCTCTTTCCCATTTTCTATCCCAACTATATATCTATTTTTGTGACATTAGTTTTGATAGATTGTTGAGTTGGTTTGCTTTATCGGAGAAAATAGTATTTCTGACTCCAAAGGGTAAGAAAATTTTAATTATGAATTATTGTTAATAACATAAATTCGTTTACTTAAATGATATATGTGCTTACATTATGGCCGGTTCTACCATTTTTATTATTTACTGATCCACTAATTATGATCGGTCTTACCACCTTTATTATTTAATGTTTTATGGCTGGTTTACTACCTTTATTATTTAATAATTTATTTACTATGGTTGGATTTACCATCTTTGTTATTTAAATAATTTATATTATGTTATTATTTCATTTAATGCCATTTTATGTATTTATATACTATGCTAAATTATATTTTTATATTGTTGCCACATCTAGTTATTCTGAAAATGTCAAATTTGACAAAGCTGGAATTCGTGGCCCTGGATATTTCTGGCAAAAATTATTTATCTTGGTTCTTGATGCTCAGATCCATTTGGATGCCATGAGCCTTGGAGACACAATCAAAGAAAAAAATGATGCATCATTGCAAGATAAAGCAAAGGTCATGATTTTTCTCCGGCGCCATATTAGTGAGGAATTGAAAATTGAATACCTCACTGAAAGAGATCCACTTTGTTTGTGGAATAATTTGAAAGAAAGATATGATCATCAAAAAACAGTTATCCTCCCAAAGGCTAAGGCTGATTGGCTGCAACTGAGGTTGCAAGATTTTAAAACTATAGCTGAATATAACTCTACTCTGTTCAAAATCAGCTCTACATTGAAATTATGTGGTGATACTGTTACTGATGAACTTTTGTTAGAAAAAACATTCACCACATTTCACGCCTCGAATGTACTCTTACAACAACAATATCGAGAGCGTAGATTTAAAAAATATTCAGAGCTGATATCATGTTTGCTTGTGGCAGAGCAAAATAATGAG